TACTAAAATTGTTATCATCACCTTAATCCTTTGCATAGACTAATTTGCTAATAATTTTGTATTTTTAAAATATAATTTTAGTAAAATATGTTAATAAGAAATACGATAAATACATTTTAATATTATAGATCTAACACCAATCTTTTTTATAAAAAATTAAAAGCAATATCATTCTAAATTTTAGAAGATCAAATTATAGATTTACTTTATTATTTTAAATTTCTACCAATATAAGGCAATATATATAAATAATATTAAAATACAAAGCATTTTCATAAAAAAATGTGATACAGAAGATAGAATAAGGTATGAAAGTATTTTATTATTAGTGAATTTTCTAGGGCTTACGTGGCTTTGGATGTGAAGAAGTTTAATATTCCCTATGTTAGTTTAAAATAAAAGAAATTAGGATCTAACATAGTAATGCACAAGCAATAAAAAAAAGTAAAAATAATTCTAGAAAATAAGAAATAATTTTTTCCTTGCATTTGAATAAGCATTCCACCTGGATACATTGAATTGAACAATAATAATATTACGATCACTCAAACTAATTTCTAATTTTTATATTCTTGTCATTAGTATGTTAATATTAATATATTAAAGGATATTGACAATGATAATAAAAATTTAATATTAATATATCAAAGGATACTGACAAAGCTCTCACTTCTCTTAAATTTTATTTTAGGTTGAACTCTGTTAGAACCTCCTAGTAGAGCTGATGTTTAGTGTGTTGTTGTGCTTTTGGACTTTTTAGCCTCGTTAATTAGAAAAATAAAAATAAAAATTATTGACTCTTATACATCAAATTAAGCTAACTATTAAATTATCAAGACTGAACCTTATACTTTAAAAAATAATCAGAGTTATCATTAAACTATACAGGATAATTTTAATTTTAATTAACAGTTTGAAATAGCTTTAGAGTAAAAGGAGACAAAAGAACATGAGTAACAATTTAATTAACAAATTACCTTCAAACTCTAATGCAAAATCTGGGTTCAGAGGATACCAGAAAAACATCATAAATATAGTTCATTACGTTCTGTTCTTGAAAAAGAAATTATAATCCAATATATAACATTAACCTCAACAAACCATTGGTTTTGATAAACTTTATAACATATAAAGGGTTCAGCCTTCACAGCTCCTTCAAATGAAAGCTTCTTTGGTCAAAGAACAATGGGATGACACTATTGAAATGGGTGTTGTGAAGTGGCAGCATCGAGCAGCTAAAAAATATCAATAAACACATGTTCCCAAGCTAATTTGCCAACTGTATTGATCAAGAAACAAAACAATATTATCAATAAATTAGTACAAAAAGAGACAATAAACACATAATTTGTGTTAACAAAAAGTTTCAGAATTTTAAAAAATAACAATTCATTTAATTGAATCAAATTGTATATGAGTAAGTAAATAAATCAAATCAGTATTTAAAATTAACAATAGGAACTAATTTTAACACATTAATTACCCGTCTCAAAATATAGTTTAAATTGATCCGCAAACTATTATTTACGTGGTTTATTTTGTTGGGACTTAGCTCACTGCTTAGAAAATATAAAATAAAAAAATTGCTTTATTTATATTTATATTTATAGTCTGTTAGTTATTGTTTTTCATAAGAATATTTGAAGGCCATACCTTTGGATGATTCCTGCCTGCCCTGCAGCCCCTCACATTATGACTTGATCGTCCATGCTTATGGCAGAAATGTGAGCAATCTTTTTGAAGTGTTTCCCTCTCTCTTTTCCATACCTTTCTTCTAGCAATGGACACTTCCTTATGCTCAGTACTTCGAGAGACGATGGCAGTTGTTCCTCTGGCAATGACTCGAGGCTTCCACATTCGTCGATGTGAAGCTCTCTAAGAGAAGTGAGATGTTGAAGCCCTTTCCCTTCCAACCGCTTTAAACCATCAAATTTGGATAGCGTCAGAGACGTGAGAGAAGTGGGCAGTGATGGCTCCCTCAGCAAGGTGTTTACCACTTCTTCATCCCCCAAACCACTCCCATGGAGATCAAGACGTGACAGAGAAGTGAGGCGTTGGAATTGGCAAACTAACTCTTGTTTAGACATACATGATAATGATATTATTCCAACATCAACATAAAGAACTAGTAAACTGGAAGGCAACCACCTTGGGGACAATGACGTTAACTCTGGAAGATCACGAAGCCACAAGTATTTAAGGTCAGGGAGATCCATCTCTTCTGGAAGTGACCTAAGTTCCTCACAATTATTGACATCAAAATCATTTAATAAATTAGGAGAGGCCCTTCCACCGTTATCAGTAATTGCTTCCAAGTAAGGACACTAAGAGATCTGAAGGCATCGAAGAGCTGGGAAGCAATCTAACGGAAAGGACATGAGCGAATCACAACTCATGAAGATTACCAGGTCTTCAAGTGATGTGTATTTCTGCCAGCTTTCATCACACACAAATTCTAACTTCTCACAATTAGAGATGCTAAGTGATTGCAATGACGTGGGCAAACCATCAGTTGTGAGGGAAATCGAAGACTCGATATCTGTAAGATTCAAGTATTGAAGACAATTGGCATTGAGAATCATTCTTGGCAAACACTGCAGGCTGTCACACTTTTCAATTGATAGTTGACGACATGACAAGTTGTCAAGCAAAGACAACAACCCCTCTCCCCCTTCTCTAACACTCATTCCTCCAATTGATGTATTCCACTGCACATCGCATGATTTTGCCTCCAGCTGGTTGCACCCTGCGATATCAACCTTTTGCAAAGAAGGTAAACGACTGGGCAAGTTTCCTCTCAACAAGGGACATTCCGATAAACGCAAACGCTTCAGACAAGGAAAAGGAAAATTGCTACCTTCACCTTCAAATGGTAGCCACTCCTCCCACTCTGACATCTCTTCAAACTCAAGACTTTCCAACAATGGAAATGGCTGGAAAGATTGGCAGCTTGCACTGCTGCAGTAGAACTCCTGACCAACTGTCTTCACCATTTTCATCCTTCTAATGACAAGCTCCTTAAGAGAAGGTAATTGTCCAAACGGTGGAAGTGACAGGCAATAGTTGCAGACACTGATACACAGGACTTGAACATTACAGTATGAAGAATCACCCAGCCAATTTGGGAAACTTGTGCCATTGTAGTATATAATGCTCAGTTTCTTTAACATCGTTGATGGTTGCAGGTTGTCAAGTACATCCTTCTCAACTTGTGAATCTTGTGGGTCGCTGTCCCACTTCAGCATAAGCTCCTCAATCTGCTCTTTGTTCTTTAAGTTGGCTTGAAATGCATCGCTAGGATCAAAAACATTGTGCAGCTTCAGAATGGAAAGCTTACCCTGCAGATAGGGAAATTTTCTTAATTCACTGATCCTTAATCCATCTTCTTTGCCTACAATGAAGGAAGTCAATGTACGGAGATCTTGCAGTCTGCATATCTGTGTTGGCATCTCCGTCAAATTTGTGTCACTGATATCAAGGTGTCGTAGATTGACCAAATTTCCTATCTGTGCTGGTAGCTCAACAAGAGATTTACAGTTTGACAATTTCAACGTCTGCAAATTGTAAAGCTTGGAGGTTGCATCAGGCAACCTTTTGATGGAATTAGAGGAAAGGTCAAGATGCCGCAGAAGCACCAACATGCCTAAGGAATCAGATAGCTCAACAAGATATCTACAGTATGACAATTTCAAAGTCTGCAAATTGTAAAGGTTGAAGGTTGCATCGGGCAACCTTTTGATGGAAGTAGAGGAAAGGTCAAGATACCGCAGAAGCACCAACATGCCTATTGAATCAGGCAGCTCAGTGATATTTTTATAGTTTGACAATGATAGAACTCGTAGGCATTTTAGTTTTGGCAACAAATCTTGTGGCACTTTTCTAGTTATGCATAGGCCCCATCCCAATGGTAGAAAGGTCCGCAAACATTTCAGCTCATAGAAGCTCTCAAATTTTTCAGAGACGTCATAAAAGTTCCTATAAAAAGATAGATGGCGCACATTTTTTGGAATTTCACTGCAATCCAAACAGTGAGATCTTTTTCCTGATACAAGTCTAGCTAAATCATAGACGAGGTCATGCATTCGGATCTTGTCCTTTGAAACAGCTTTGTCTCTCTGAATTAAGGATCTGGATAATAACTCATTAAAGCAGTCAGAACCAACTAATTCCAGTTCTTTCTCTGAGGATGGTTGTAGAAGGCCTTCGGCCATCCATAACAAAATCAAGTCTTCTCTGTCCCACAGATGTTGTTTCGGAAAGATTGAGCAATAGGCAAAACATCTTTTCAAATGTGCAGGAAGATGAAGATAACTTATGCGCAAAGCTGGTAAAACATCCTTGTGTACCCACAACTTGCTGTCTAGAACTCTTTTCCATTCCTTCTCATCAACATCTGATCGCAAAAGACCTCCCAATGTTTTAGCAGCTAATGGTAGGCCAGCACATTTGCTTGCAATTTGCCGACCAATTTTTTCTAGTCTTGGATATTGGTCGTAACCTTCATTTCCAAATGCATGATTTGCGAGTATCCTCCAACAATCTTCCTCTGGCAGAGATTCCAGCTTGTAAATGGGAAATGTATGGGTAAACTTTGCAACTTCTGGTTGTCGGGTTGTCACAATGATCCTACTTCCCTTTTTCCCACTGGTAAAAGGAGTTATCAATTGATTCCAGTCATTATACTCTTCATTCCAGAGGTCATCAAGCACAAGCAAAAAATTTTTATCTTTCAAGCTATTTTTTAATTCAACACGAAGAACATCAGGATTGGTACTATTACAATCTTTGGATGATACAGAATCAACAATTTGTTTTGTTACTTTGAAAACATCATATACATCCGATACCCATACCCAAGCTTTCAAATCAAAATGGTTCTGCACTTTACTATCATTATAAAGGTATTGAGCAAGGGTTGTTTTGCCCAGACCTCCCATGCCTAGGATTGTGATCACTTCTATATTATTAGATTTGGCATCAACATCAGATAGAAGCATGTTCAGTAACTTGTCTTTGTCATCCTCTCTAGCAATCACAACAGGTTCAACCAACGAATCTGTACTTTTGCTGTAAGAGACTCTCCTAGAAACACTTTGCAAACAAAGAATATCCTTCTGTTTCACAAAATGTTCCAGCCTTACAGATATTGCTTCAAGCTTGGAATTCATACTCTTGTAGAATTGATTAAAGGAGGAAGAAAAGAATGATCTCACCTGGGTAGTAAAGCTTTTAGATTCTCCCTCCACCTTGCATCTCAAAGATTCAGTGTTGATTTCATCCAACAAATCTTCTGCATCCAAGACAGCATCTTTCAACTCATCAAGCCATGCCTTCACATTAAGATCAGTGATCTGCTTCTCCTCAGCATCATTGAGCACAGCATTAAGTGCCAGCAGCTTAATCCTCAGCTCATCTAACAGAGAAACATTGAGCCTCCTGTTGGCAAAGAAATCTCGAAACTCTGTAGAAGTTATTCTATCTAACAAGATCTCTACAGAAGCAGAGATAAGTGCCTCTCCCACCATAGCCAAGGCCATTTCTTCTCTTGTTTTGCAAACTGTATCACAACTCTAAATCTCTTGCTAAATGCTGAACGTGATGCAAATGTGGGGGTGAAAATTTGAGGTATTATGGTACTCAAGTCTAGTCAACGTCTTGGTTTCACACACGCTCTTTAAGCGCGTGAACATATTTGTTTTTATTAATTTATTTATTTGTTTTTCATGAATGTTGACTGACCAAAAACTACGGTCATCGTTATATATGTAGTCAAGTGCAGGTGCACTTACTTACAAACTATATTTTTAACAACATTTTTTCAGTGAATATTTTCATTTTAAGCATATTTAACATAAATATTTTTAGCTGACTCAATAATGCAAATATTTTTATTTATTTGCTTTTGGTTGTACGCCTAAGCAAAATAAAGAAGTTGATGACTCGATTTAAGAAAGAGACTTTTTTGCAATAATCAATGGCAAACACTATTATATTATTTCATTGGCTTTGGGCTTCTGTGTGTCTTATCGTTTTTCCATTCTCATTCTAAAGGGAGAAGAAAATTTTTCGTTTGGGAAAATAGTTTCAAAGTCAGTACAAGCTTTAAATGTACATATGGTTGATGTGTTCCGCTGTTCATGATTTTTAGTATTACTAATATATATATATGAGTTCATTATTTTTAGTACAAGCTTTAAATTTAGTATAATATTTTAGAAATAAAATATTATACTAAATAGTTCATTATTTTTTGACAAATGTTGCAATCAAATGCAGTTATATATATGAGGCTAAAATTACTCTAGCGAACATGTTTCTTTCAGATTTGTAATCCTTTGATTGTTGTAATAAAATACTGTATGCATTCCAAAATTATATAGCAGCGTATAAGTGATTATTGGAAAATAAGCATTCAAAATGTAAACATTAAAAACACACAAGGTGCGCTTGGGTTGTTCGTTAATTTTTATTTTTATTTTTTCAACTATCTATCGACGATATTTTGAGTAATTTTACTTTTAACATCATAAATGTAGAAGTTATCTAATTCTTGAAATATTAGATAGACTTATAAATTCTACATGATATGATAAAAATTTATCATACTTTTATTCTATTATTATTCAATTCTCTTGCCTTATTTATCATTGTCTTATTCTGGCAACTATACAGGTGCATAGTAGTTAGAAACTCTGCTTCTCAAAATTTTTCTTTCTTAATTAAAACAAATAGTTCATGCCATGAGGTTTTTTTGCTTCTGTAACTCTTTTATATATTTGTTCAGTTGTTAATTTTACTTTATCTACTTTTTATCAAAAGTTTCAGTGGACAAAAATCTTTGGACAAATTTAGTGGCAACACTCATCAAGAAAACATACATCCAAGTTATATTAGGGAGTTGTTTTGAAGGAAAATATAAAAAAGAATAAATATTTTATTTTTAGATTAAAAGAGTTATATAATATTTATAAAAGTAAAAAAAAAAAAAAAAGATTGACACATTTACACATTGTTATGAATATCATATAATTTTTTGAGTTGTATAATATTATTCTTCATTCTATTTATCTGTCAAGAAGAAGAAACTTACTCCTATTTATCTATGTATTTAAAAATTCAAAATAATTATTATTATTCCTCTACTAATATCTTTTGTCTATATAAAATATTTATATTATTTGAGTAGTCTAAGAGTCAAAAGGAGATACACTAATAAATTATTTTCCTGACAATTAACTAGAGGATAGGAATGTTGAACTAAATTTTCTCCTTTACTAAATGATAAGTTATATTCTTTATCAAAGCAGTTATCAAATGATAGCACAAGATTTTGAAATCTTTGTTTTACAATTAGTCTAATTTTTCTGATCCTGCTAAAGGATGCTTTCTATTTGTCTGCTTTTGATGCTAGAATGGCTAAGAAGAAAGGATTTAAAGGATTCTTTATAAAAGTAAGATCTAATAAGGCTAAGGTATATAAGAGATCTGTTTTGTTACTTGTTAATATTTAGGCAGGCTTTATAGTACCAAGTTCTTACATGTATTTCTTTATAGTTTTAAGTCATTAACAATCTCTTGTCTTGATCTCTTGAAGACAGAATGAGAATGATGGTATATAGCAAATACTATTTGCTGTCAGATGTTCTCCTATGCTGTGATTATTTTCACATTTGAAGCCATTAACGTGGGGCAACTGGATGTTGCATTAGTACCCATGACTGCCAGATATAAAGTATCAACTTTTCAATCTCGAAAAGGCATAAAATGATCAAGTGCTCTGAATTACAGAACTACCAATTGCACTAGGAATTGGCAATATGCAAACATTACTTTCTAAACAAATATATGGCAGTAATCAGGACACGGCTTGAATGGAGACACAACTAATGTCTTGGCCTTGCAGAGACAAAACAAGCATAACCTTAATCATGAAGCTAACAGTAATCAAACCCATAATTCCTGCCAGAGAAACTTCCATTACTGCAAATCTTAAGAAGTTTAATCACATCCTTGGATTGATAAATGTGCTACATAAAAATTTAAAATAAAAAAAAATTAGTTAAATGTAAAAGAAGAAAAAAAATCAGGTCGTCTTACGCAACCAGAAATGCCATTTTGAACAAATTTAAGCACATTCTGATAGTCAAAAGCCACTATCCAACTATTTTCTCACCAACAAGAAATGCATGTACCTGATCTCAAATCTGAACCCAACTGCAACCAGAATTTTTCTTTTGTTTGCCTCATCCCATCTTTCAGCTTCTGCGTACATATTTAAAACTTAAAAGGAGTATATAGTATCCACAGTGATGAGGCTTTAATTTAGACAAATGCTCGGCTGGGCAGTTCCCCAGTTCTATGTTCCCTTGTATTCATCATGCTCCAATCAGTGCACCCAAAATTAGCATCTGGTACAACACAGAGGCCTGTAATAAGCTCTGCAGCTTCTTCCATTAGACCAACCCTTCCATGAGCTTGCATTAGCATCACTAATTCTACAGTTGCAAATTCAAGTCTGTTCTGAGCAATATTTGCAACCAGAGCATTCCAAGATACAATGCTTCTTTTACCCATCCTTAAACTGAACCCATGGGACATCCATTCCCAATTTTATGAGTCCCAATTCTCCTAATACAAGTAGCATACTAGAAATGGTAACAGTGTTCAGTCTCATTATCTTAAAAACATCCAAAGGATCCATGTATTTCCCTCTAAAAGAAAAACTAGTAATAACAGCATTCCAAGAAATCTCATTTCTCTCATCAATTTCATTAAAACTTTCTTGGAAGCCTTCTCACTCCCACATTTCCATAAACATTAACCAAAGCATTTTCAACCTTAACATGGCCCAACAAACCAAGCTTCATAACATGACAGAACACAACTCTCAGCCATCACCTCATCCTCAGTTTCTGCACCCACCGGCAACACACTAACAACAGTAACCAAATCCGGTTCGGTAACCATCCCTTTGAAAAATGCAAATGCCTCTTCATAAAGCCTATGAAGAGAACACAGCCCAATAACAGTATTCCACGGCACCTTATCCCTCTCACACATTTCTTTCAAACACCTTCATTGCATCACCAAAAAGCCCACAATTGCTATAAAAGGCCAAAAGGGTATTCCCAGCAAAGACATCCCCGTCAAGTTAACAAGAAACCATGCGAGGGTCATGCCAATCCACAATTTGTCTACCCGTACAACTACTTGATCCATGTTCAAAACAAGGTTGGATTTGGATGTGATAATCAACTCTTCTTTTCTTGATTCCTTGACCATGAGTTGTTCAACATAGATCATGCATTCATCAATGACATCTTCTATAGAAAAAGATGCTTCTCTCAACTGCTTCATCCATGTTTTGATTCCATCATTTGTATTGTTTCTTCTATTTCAACCCTTCTATCTGCATCCTTGAGGAAGGCTTGAACGTTTTCTAGTGCATTTTTTATATCTGCAAATTCTTTGGGTACATTCCAAAGCAAATTTGCTTCATCCCTTATAGGTGGAAACAATTTCTCTCGTGCAAATGACATTGCATTTGAGTCTAACTTTGATTTCATCTGAATTGTGAACTGAAAATGGTACTTTCAGAATTATTTTTCACTTGTATAACTAAAAATTTAAAGTTGCTTATGGTATTAATCGTCTTGTATGTATAATTTCATTATTTTCAATTGCCCTTTGTCTGCATATATTCAGGCTTATGATTACTATGAACCCTTATTTTCTTAACGTGAATATGAGCTTTGCCACAACTAAAATGATATACTAACTTGATTGACGAAATGCCAACTGACATGGAAAATTTCATGATGGAAACAGCCTCCAAACTTGAAAGAATAATTATAAAACACATATTTATTACATTTTAAAGAAATGAGCGAGGAGTAGAACCTGTAATTTGTCATGCCTCACAATAACTTAATGCATTGTTTTGATCAGAAGAAATAAATAAAATGAAATAGGATATGAATAATATATTTTTTATTGAAACTTTTATTTAAGTTATTTTTTTCTCTTAACATATTTCTTTTATAAACCACTTTATTTATTTGTATTATACATATACAATGTAAAAATTCGTTGAAAATATATATCAAACATAAATTTTTAAATTATTTTATGTTTTCATAGAGTATGAATTTTATCAATTTAATCATTTATTTGAAATTTTTTTATGAATTTGATTAAATTTATAAAATTTCATTAAAAAAGAATTAATAAATATTTATCAACTTACTTTATTTTAATGTTTTATATTTTTAAAAAGAATAAGTGAATATCAATTATTAAATAATATACCTATAAATATCCAAATTGTAAATTAAAAATTGACATACATGATTATAAAGATAATATTATATAACTTAATGATTAAATTGATAAATTTTACATTATACAAAGATAATATTTTTCTCTTTTAGATTAACTTAGTGGAGAGAAATACTCTATCTTGAATCCGAATCTCAATAAATGTAGTTGTGTTAAATACACTTGTGATCTAGATAAATAAAATAAAATTGTGCATTTCATGGATTACTAAATTAGTAATGATAAAACATGACAGTAACAAACAAACAAAAAGTATAAAGGTAAATTAATAGAGAAATTGGTTATTCACACTCAATCATAAAACACTAAATCAATCGTTTGATCCAAAACACTAAATCAATCATAAAAAAATAAATTCAATTAAATTAAAGAATCACATTTTATACCGTGGTTTGATTCAATTTTGAATTTCTTATCTTAAAATTAAAATAAGTTGCGTTTATAATAAATTTATAATTTTTTTAATTGTATTTTTATATAAATCATTTTTCACTCAATTTTATCATAACATTGTATAAATATATAGTACATCATTTCTATTAACTTTAAATTCTCATTTTTTCCAATTAAATATATTTTGTTTTTTTGTTTTCTATCAATTTTTTTTTGTAATATTATCCTTTTAATCATAATTTCTTCTCTCTATTTTTCATTTTTTTCAATAAAGTCATTTCAATTTTTAAGCTACTGTTTGTTCTAAACTTAAAAATAGATTAAAAATCATATAATAAAAAATTAATTTTTGAAAAATAAAATAGTTTAATAATAAATAAATTTTGAAAAAATAAATTCAAATTGAACTGATATTTTGCAGTTCGATTTTCAAATTATATTCAAACTTAACCGAACTAAGTTACATGTTATTTCTATATGCGGTTGAAATGACTTTTTTCAGTAAAAATCAGATCAAACCAAATCATGAACATCCTTATTTTGTATATATATAAAAATAAATAAATATAATGATAAAGGATCTGCTCTATGAAGCCCTTTGCTAGAAGTGAAATCATGAAGTTTAGATTTATTAACAATATGTTAGAGTACAAACTCCTCACATGATCAGCCTAATAATTCTAGAGGGAAATCTAAGAGAGAGTTGAATAAGAGAAAAATAGGATAAGAACGTAATCATATCCAATGTTTGATGCAAGCTTAATAATATATAGAATAATTTCAGAATATGATATAAATATACAAAAAATTGATAAAATTGTCCTTTTATCTATATTTATTAAATTAAATTTTATTTTTTTTACTTTGTATAAGTTGTTTATTTTTAATTTATAGAAAGCATATAAATATTTTAATATATTTTGTAATTTTAATACAAAGAAAGGAGAAAGAGGAGAGAAAGAAGTAATAAAATAAATAGTTATTTTATGGAAGACAATTATTATTATTTTTTTACCTAATTTTATTCTCAAGATTACAATTACACTAGTCAAATAAGATATAATAAATTAATCATATTCTAAAACATTTGATTAAAAATAAAAATGATATGTTATTTTATCTTATTTACTCTTTTCCTGACCATCCAATAGACCCTTAACCTATTAACATAAGATAAGATAACTTAATATGATAAGTTATCATATCATGTTACTTAATAAATACTAAAAATAAAATAAAATAAAATAAATTATCTTATCATATTTTCTTATTTTGACCGATAAATTGACTCTAAAAGCGCTTATACTTTGAAAATACACCTAAAAACACTCCCATTGAATAATATTCCTAAAAATATTTTTATCTATAAACTAATATTTACAATTTATATATTGTCTATTTATTTCCTAAAATTATAAAAATAATTTTTAGCTTCTTAAATTATAATAATCATTCAATTTCATTTTTAAAATTAATTATTTAACTCCAAAATTATAAATTCATATAAATTTAGTCCTTAAAATTAAGTTTCTAAAATTATAGTTAATAATTTCACAAACTAAAATATAAGTCTTATTTAAAAAAATAATTAATTTTATAATTCTATGAATTAAAATGATCGATTTTAAATTTTATGGAATATTTATTTATAAATTTTAAAAATAAATTGTTAGATATGTGTAATAAAAATTTTATAAACTAAAATAACGTGCTCATAAAATTTGATTAAAATAAGTTATTATTCTGAAAGCATTATTATTTTTACTTTAATTTAAAAAAATTTGATTTTAGTTTCTATTTTAAATAGAGATTTCTTAATTTTAATTTTGTCCTATAAACTAAAATATGCAATTTTTTTTATCATGTTTAAAATTTATATTTAATATTTTTATAAAAAATAAAACCAAAAAAATGGACCAACAACTTGTTACTCAAAAATTTTTAAGCGGACAATTGTGAGTCATCTCTGGAGATTGGGAGGAGAGAGAATATACCTTTATTCCCCTGCAACTCAACTAGGGTTTGTTGTTCACAAAAATATAAATATCAACCATTGAACTCTCTCTCTCTCTCTCTCCCTCTCCCCTCTGCATCCATTCACTCTCCACAAAATGGCTGTTGTTTTCTCAAATCTACACACAGAGTCAGGTCTCAAGTCCCTTAATGACTTCCTCTCTGGAAAGACCTACATTTCTGGGTAACCCACTATTATACACTCAATTTTATTGTTTTTCATTTTTAAACAATAAGTTTCAATCTTTAATAGCTCTTTTCTTGTTTCTGGTTAATTCCCGTTCTGGGTCTGATTGGGTTTTCAGGGATCAGTTCACAAAGGATGACATCAAAGTGTATGCTGCTGTTTTGGAGAAGCCAGATGGCACTTTTGCCAATGTTGGAAAGTGGTACGAGGTTGTCTCTTCCCATCTTGCTGCGAGGTTGGTTCCAAATGGGTGTCATTTGTTTTGCTATTTTTTTAATCCAAAATTGGGTTTTTATTTCGTTTTTGTGTGTTAATTTTTCATTTTGGTGTGTCATGTGAAGCTTCGGTGGCAGTGCTCAAGGGGTAAGATTCAGTGGCAAGGCTCCTGCTCCAGCTGAGGCTGCTCCTGCAAAACCGGTGTGCATATATTTGATGCCATTTTGCTATTTATTAAAAAAAATGTCGAAAATGATTATGTATTCAAGTTATTGATTATATATATATTTGGTGTAATTCAACTTTGATGATGACAGGATATATACTGTAATTCCCCTTGGCGCACCATAGTTGCATTAGCTATTATAAAGGATAAATAACAAATAACCTCATGGTGTATCAATTATTTTCAACTTCATACATAAAGTTTGTTTTGTAAACATATCCCCTTTGAAGCTTGGATAAGAATACAAAAAAAATGTTAAATTCACTAGTGTCCCATTGCTAGGATGGGAAATGAGCAGAGTCAGCTTGCAAACTACTCAAGTGTCACTTTTTTTGTCAAGGCGCATCTAACTTGTGTAACCTATAGGACTTTGGGACTCAAAATATAATGTTTGTCATTCAAATCCAAACTTTTGAGGGTTGTGTTATAACTTATGTAATAAATTTTTATGTGTGAAAATTGAAAATGGATGAAACATCCGGTGGTTATTTGTATTTGTACACCTTATTAAATATGATATGCTTTTAATGTGAATTATTTTTATTGAGTGGATTGAGTGATAGAAAGTGTTGTGGAGTGGTTTATAATGGTGATAGTGGAGTGGAAATACTTTGTATAATTTGCTTGTTGAAAAAAGATGATTAAAACATCTTGTAATTTGTCTTTTATAAAGTAATGTATCTCCATGATTAGAAATTCTTGAGTTGTCGTGGTGGGAAGGGGTTTGGTTAAGGCTATGAACCCTACTAACCACTCCCCCTATTGCTCAAAAGTTTCCTAAATATTGGTTTGCGCTTTGCATCATATGCTATCCTACTTCATTGCTCCCATTGGATGCTAAGTTGTGACTACAAATGGTAGATTATTGTTGTTTTAGTACTTTTACCTTGGCTAATACGCCAATTACTTCAAATCTTCAACTAGTTTGGTTATTGGGATTTTTTTTTTTAATTTGCCAGGATGCTTCTGCTGCTGACGATGATGATGACCTTGATCTCTTTGGTGATGAGACAGAGGAAGACAAAAAGGCAGCAGAGGAAAGGGAGGCTGCTAAAAAACCTGCCAAGAAGAAAGAGAGTAAGATGTCTTGACTGTTGACTTAATTTTTGCAGTTTGTAAAAGCATTTCACATTGATGAAATGTTGCAAAAAGGTTGTCCTTGAATTTATATAATCCATTTCATTACCTGTTGTGTGAGAGCTAGGAATATTGAGTTATATAATGAAATTGTACTATTTTTTGCTTCTTTGGTTTAAAGTTGAGTGGAAGTGATTTTGATGAAATTGATTGAGCAGTTGAGTATAATTGAGATACATGCATAAATTAATCTCAACCACATATTTTTATTGGAATGTGTCCTTTTTTAATTGGAAACTGGGAGCATTGATTTTCCAATTGTAAAACAAACACGCGCTTTGTTTGCTCTTGTTTCCCTTCTTAAATGCGGCTGAAATTGTCTATTGGCATTTTTTAGGTGGCAAATCTTCGGTTCTGCTTGATGTTAAGCCGTGGGATGATGAGACAGACATGAAGAAGCTAGAAGAGGCTGTTCGTAGCGTTGAGATGCCTGGTCTATTGTGGGGAGCATGTATGTTACTTTCTTTGCTTCTCTCTTAAATATTATTCGGATGTGTTTAACTTGTATAGATAATGTGAACAAAATGCTTTTGTTGATATTTATGCAGCCAAACTGGTTCCTGTTGGTTATGGGATCAAGAAGTTGCAGATCATGTTAACCATTGTTGATGACCTTGTATCCGTGGACTCCCTTATTGAGGAGCATCTGACGGTTGAGCCCTGCAACGAGCATGTCCAAAGCTGTGACATTGTTGCATTCAACAAAATTTAAGTGTTTCTTGTTGGACTTCATGCGGCTGATAGCTTGCGTTTCTTTGATAAGTCTAAACAACGCCTTTTTCATCATTAATGTCTAGTCTGTGTTTCAGTGGTGGTTTTTTCATACTAGAATTCTGAGAAGTAAAAGAAATATATATTTTGAATATATATCTTGTGGTATTTCCTCCAATGTTATTCTTGAAAAAGTACTAGGTGTGTAGGATTAACGTTAATTAGTGAGGGGTTTCAGTTTAATTGTATATACGACCTTTTGTTACTTGCTTACATTGGAGGTGCTAGCACTGGAAAAGGTGAATTGGTGATGAATCAAGTCTAGCATATCTGCACACTCAACTCAAGTCTTGCTGAAGACAACGTCTAAAATAAAATGGGTCAGTGCCCTTCCTCTTTTTCTCTTTACCTAGGTGGTCAAAATAGTAGACCAAAACCAAACACCCCTTTACAAAGAAGAGTGTGTTTGGTGAACATGATAAGATATAAGAGTTGGACAAGAATATAATTCGATAAGAGCAGGATAGTTTTTTTCTCTTATTTTACAGAGCGTCATTTTTTTTCTGTTTGTTTTAAACTTATGTCTTTTCATAGGATAAAATTTACATTAGAATGAAGACTAAGACAAGGTCATAGGATATATTTATTATATTTTGATGGTTGAATTAAACATCAAATAGAATTGGATGAGGCTGCAGCATAGACTTGTGTTGTACCAAATGAGTTTGAAGACAATTATTAATTTTGAATATTTTTATAAGATTGTGTATTATAAAATAAATGTGATTTTGAGATTTCATAATAAATCACATGCACTAAAATTCTAGGATTTGAAAGGAACCAATCTAGCGAAATCCATATTGTTAAGTAGGATATTATCCTTCATCAAACCCATGCTTAGTACCCTTAATTGAGTAACAGGTATGAATGCATGACATAATTTGAGGACAAGTCTTGAATTTCAGGGGTAAAAAAGAGCCTTGCACAAATTTCAGTGTAAGCATTTTTTCCAAGATTAAAGACCACAGAATGTTCTTAAGTTGAAACGATCCAAGACAAATTCCAACTTGTAGTTTGGGACTATTGTTAGTATAAATAATTTTTGCACAATCTTCAATTTGTAAGTTGGACAAGCGTGATAAATTTTCAATTCTAATGAAATCGATTATTGTGATTTAACTCAAGTTCAATAACCAAAATATCAAATTTCATTAAAAAAAATATCTAAAACGTTTCTTTCATTAAACTCTAATATCATTTACGATAAAATCCTTCAATTTTTTTTTAAAAAAAAGTAAAAAATTTCTTATTTCTTAAAATTTAAAATTATTTAATGTTCTAATTCTATTGCAAACCCCTCCTCCTCCTCCAAAAAGAAAATTGATTAGAAAATAAAAATATGGAGAATTTTAAGTAAAGGAGATCAACACGGCACCAAATATGCACCATTTTAAAGATAGAGGATATAATTGGATTGAAAAACTTAAATCACTAAATATAAACTAGAGGGACCAAAAGGTACAATTAAACCAATATGTTGCTATAGGAAAAGTCGATGGCTAACTAAATGTGTTGGTAACTTTAGATAAGTTTACCGACTACATAAAAATTATACCAATTTATATAATTAGATTAATGTTGCTGAGGTAGTTAAAAACATAATATTTTTTATGGGTTCACATAAATTAAACTATAGATACCCAATAATAAAAATAAATTAATTTTGCTTTTTATTCGATGAGTTGCATTAACGGGTGTACCCTTCGGTAATAATTTAATAGTTTTTAAAAGTAAATAATCTAAATTATAAAGATTTAGTAGTACCACTTGTAATATGATTAATTTATAAAATAATAGAATAATCAATTCAAATAATATTAATCGCTTTGCACAAAATAATACAAAGTATTATTATTATTATTATTATTATTATTATAATAATAATAATAATAATAATAAAAAGCTAGTGAAAAAATTAAGAGAGATTATGGTCAATGATAGCAGTGATATGTCAATAATAGTTAAAAGTTCTGACAAATGAGTCAGAGACATTTAGAGTGGCTTCTTATTGTAGTCTTATGTATCATAAAGCTCATATGTTCTTAAAAACGATCATCACATTAGAACATAAGAAGTGATATTCTACGTCCTCCTGAACTTCAACTTTTATATTATTTAACCTTCTCCTATTGGTATTGCTCTATGTATAATTTAAGTTGTCAATTTTTCCTCATCTCTTACTCCAACGTACTTGACCTATTGCCTGTTGCTGAAGCTACTAGTGGAACTATGCTTGTTACTCTTGTTAGATCAGTTGGGCCTGGTATTGCAACTCTTAGTTAAAGGCATGCACATGTTTTGTAACATTCTTATTTTGTTATGTTGCATTTTATGTTAGTTGTTTGTGCATATTATTTATTTAGTAGAGTTTGATTGGAATATTCTGCAGAACATCTTGTTATAGTGAGACAAATAATCCAAAATTAAGATGTCTAGAACACTCTCACAGTAGCCAAAGACTCACTTTAACAAAAAGTGAATAAGAATAACTCAGTAACCCTCTTGATATAGCTAGAATTCTCGTTGTAGCGACAGAGAAATTCTCACTATAGTAAAAATGACATATAAAAGAGAAAAACTATTATTTAATTATTTGTTATAACAAGAGTTATTCATTAAATGAGCTTGAATAACTTACTCTTCTTGATATTATTCAACTTTTGTCAACATACGAACCATTTCAATGCCTCCTATACTAGACTTTTGTTGTTCCTTTTCTTGGATCACCATGATATTGTTTTCTAGCACATTTTAACCAAGAAATGAAGCATACAAGAATTAGACACTGAGACATCAATCTCTATACTTCAAGAAATCACTTAATCAAACAAGTATTATCTAAAAAATATCATGATAATTTGTCACAATTTTACTGAAATATGACTTCCTTTGTTTTTGACATATAAATTCAATTAATTAATATTTTAGTTGAAGTACATATAATTCATATTTACTTGGTTATTTTTTCTAAAATTTGCAACAAGTTAAAAAAGAATCTTGTGCAAATTTTAAGGATTGCAAAAATATATGAAAATTAAACACATTTCCATTCAGTGATCTCAACTTTTCATCTAAATTTAAGATTAGTATATCCACATGTTTCTAGATTTTAGTTAGCAAAGTGTTATATTTGTTTTATTAAGAGGCAAGACATAAATAAATACTAATTATGAAGAAAGTGGCTCTATACCCAATCAGTAGTTCCTCCTATGAACTTGAATTTCTTTGTTGGAGGAAGTGGTTCCATGTCTAATAACTGGTCAGGATCTTTGGATCTTTTGGTTTTAGCTACTAATGCCAATTGGTCATTGACAAATGTGAAGCATAGCCAAGGTAGATTCCCCACTTTGTTATTTTCGTTGGATCCTAATAGGATCACAAGAGTATACAATAGAAAGAAGTGAAAGGGAATAGGCGAAAAATTCAATAACTAGCCGTTTAAGTGGTTAAGACAATTGTAATTTGATATTAGTTATTATTATAAATAGTTACATGATGGATTAATGGAGAGTTATGTTTTTGGGGAATTAGTAATTGAGAAGGCTTGGAGAGTGGAGTTCTATTGAATAACTTCAGTGATATTGCTTTATATGTTATTATTTATGTAAACTGTGTGACATTATGAGAATGTTACAACTAAGTGAGAAATACTAGACCACGTTCTCTTCTGCTATCTATCATTTTCGTTATAGCAAGAGCCTCTCTCACTACATCGACAACTTCTTACAGCGAGAGTATTTGTTGAGTTAACCTTATACACTTTTTAACTCAGTGCAACCATAATTTAAACCTAGTTTGGCATGCTAGTGCCTCATATCGTGATGGCAAATCCAAAACTCAGTACACATGTACATTGTGTAGGGTCACCCACATAGAGCTTTGCAAAGAAAGAATATTAAGCAAGCAAAGGAAAAGATTGAATTATATCAATGCGAACAAACAATAACACAGTCCTGCACCCAATTAAGGTGCAGACTATTATCATACAATGTCAGAAATATTCGAGAGATCCTAGCTGCTGTCCTACACAAGCTTTTCCACTCACAAAAGACACCTCAATTCTCCTAACTTTGAACTTTATAACAACCATCACTTGTAAATTGCCCCCTAATTATGAGCTAACTGACTTGGGCCTTAACATTAACTTGCCCACTCTTCCTTTTCTTAGAGTATACTAAAAATTCTACCAGAATCAAACTCTTACGTAACTAACTAAAATCAACTAACAGACAACTACTAGACTTACTTTGTAACATTGAAGGGAACAATATCGTGAGTTGCATCGAGGACATGTGTACTGGGAAAACTGCTTCTGACATCTGTCTTCGTATGAAAAGGAATTAAATAGAGCAGTTGATCAGTTCTCTTACCGGAAATAAATCTTTGGTACATTAAAAAAATAAAAAAATAAAAAAACTAGCGTATATATGGACTTAAGTTAAAATATGTTCAAAACTAGAACTGAAAATCAAAATTTTACTGCATACAAGTCCATGATGGAGCTAAGGGTGCGTGTATGCTTGGAAAGATGAGAATTAAATTTTTTTTAGTATATATGTATATGAATAGAAAACAAAATCAGGCAGAAATTTTTTTAAACTTAATCTTAGAATAATAAAAAAAAAATATATGTAAAAAAGGAAAAACTATAATAAGTTGTAGATGAACATACACATGGCAGATTATTCGGGCAAGGTTCAGTGAGGGCACAGAAGATTTGTCAAATGTAATTATAGTGGCATCCATGTTCCAAAGTGTTGTGTTTCCAATATTTCAAAATATCAAGATAATGTTCAACTGTGTTCAAATTTTATGCATGGGCCTTCCCTTGTTTGCGATCAGAGTCTGCAAGCAGCAGAAGAATAAACGTAATAAATAAACAGTGAAGTTCATAAATAAAACAAGGCTTGGAAAACTTCAAAATAACATTCCATTTGTAACTGAATGGGGAATATAATGGTTGTATTTCATGAATAATTTATATACCAATGTAACATAATGTATCCCTAGAGTTTTGGGATTAGAATCAACATTATACATCGGAAGATGTTATTATAGATATGGAAAAATATACTGCACACATCACACAGTTTAATTATTTAGAAAAGATATACCATTTTAAATCTGTTGGAAACAAAAGTTGAATAAGAAGGTCCAAGGAATTAAGACAGGAAATGAATAGACTCACACCAGCCAAAAGCTTACAAGTTATAAGGAATTGATAGAGAAGCATTGAAAGCACAGTTGCATAAAAAAGGCTATCTGCAAATACAACAATGAAGTCGGCATGCCATATAATATATGCAAATACTAACAATGGGTAGGAGAAGGTGAATATTTTAAATCCGTGAGACATCAAGTTTACAAATGGAGGTTTGGTACTTATTTTGCATTGACAATGTCATCCTAGTGAAAGCAAAAGCAAACTAGTCATAAACTACATCAATGCATATTTAGCAAATTTCAAAAGGCTTCTTGCTAACATGTGCAGATTCACTTCACCTGATGAAGCCAATGTAAAAATTAGCTTCTAATCTCGGATAGCGGCAAATAGCGTAGGCCAGGATGACCGCTATTTGAAGATCTATAATATGCGTATATAATATTGCAAAACATTACAACATGAGTGTTATATTAAACAAAAAGCTTTCATATGATAAAGTTGAAGCAAGAGTGATCAGTGAACAGAAAAGGGGAGGAGACGCTCGAAAATCTGATTTTTCCGGTGAACAGAAAAACAGAGGAGAGATGCCGGACAAACTAATTTCTCCGATGAACAAAAAAACAGAGGATACGTTACATACGCATGAGAGGAGACGCCGGAAAAGCTGATTCCTCCGGCGAAATGGAATGGATGGGCCGGTGGAATGGGAGAGACCGCTCAAACCAGTATAACCCTGGACCTTTTGAATAACAACTTAATGCGAAATAGTAAATAATTTTCTTGAATAAATATTTTTGTTTGTAGGTTCTGTAAAATGTTACGCGTTAAGCGTCAGAAACTGCAGCGATGATCTTTAAAGAACCTTAACAAAAATGGCAAGAACAATTGTAATGAAAAAACCAAAGAGTGAGAATCAATAAACAAGAACAATTGCAAAATGTTATATCTTACTAAATATTTCATTATAATGTTTTAACTAATCTTATGTTTTTCACTAAATATATTATTAGATTTTTCATCTATCTCTATAATGAATATTTTTAAATTTGTTAAATATATTAAAAAAAAGAAATAGGTAGTAAAACTTTTTTCTTTAAATATTAGCGTACTAGATTTTTGGGAACTTAAAATCACGGTTAAAGTAAAATAATCTCACTTTAGTTAATATTACATACTAGTTTGTAAAATATATATTTCTTACGAAAGCATTTATTAATTTAATTTATTAATAGTCAATAACTATTTTAGAGTTTAATTTTGCTCACTTTTATGATAAACTATTTTATATTGTAAAATAATTATAATATACTTAAATATAATTTTTATATTAATTATTACAAAAATAAGAAATTCTTACTGATATGATAATTTATAATTAAATAATATTGTAAAAAAATTTTACACTATTAATACATGTATATTAAATTTATCATTTAATTACTTGTATAATATTTTATGTATAATTGATTTCTATAATTTATTTATTGATATAATTTTACATAAAAAATGATTCTTCTATAATATAATTAACCCTAACTTTAGAAAAGTCTTTAAAGCTCCAATGTGATAAATTAAAAATAATAATAAAATATAAGAGTTTAATAAGATAAAGTGTAAAATAAAACCTTACCTTATCGTATTTTTTTTTTTTATAAATTTCATGATAATTAAATAAATATTATTATATCTTTTGTCGAGACAAAAAAATTATATAAAAATTAAATGATAAAATTATCCTTCTCTAAATTAATATAAATTTTTAAAATTAATGTTTACTATAATTTATGACTTAATATTAAAAATATTAAAATTATAAAAAATTGAAAAATATTTCTATTTACAAATGATATTGGAAGGTGGTATTAAATTATAATAACTTTCTTAAAAAATACAATTAAAATTTAATAATAGAGAAACCGCTCAAACTTTTCGCATACAGAGAATGGGAAAGATGAAATCAACTTATATGTTTTATAAAGGGTAGATAAACTTTCTACCCTTGAAAAATAATCCAAACGGTGAGTTTTATAAAAAGATATAGATAAAATTTCTTTCTTTCTCCGAATCACGCAGCGTTAATGTCTCCTTATTTTAGTTGCAAATTTTTGCAATTGCCGAAATAGGTTTAATCTGGACTAACTTATTAAAATAATAAATTTAATTTAAATTTTTTTAAAAATTTAATTAATTAAATTAATTAAGCTTAAATTTAAGAAAAAATTTATTAAATTTATTAAAATATTTTATTTAAAATTCATAAAATTTATAATAATATATTAAATAATTTTATATAAAAATTATAATATAATAATATATTAAATTAATTTAATTTTAAAATAATAAATATTAAATTAAAAATTTTAATCATTTTTTTCAGAATTAAAAATTGTCTTTACTACGTATTTTTTAAGAAAAAGAGATAGTTTTTTTTACATATTTTATATAAAAAATATTATTATTTATATATTTTAAATTTTTGTTTGTTGTATTTGCTAATTTTAGGTCTAAAACTTATTTAGTTATATTATTTTTGTTGATTTAATATATAAGACTTTATTATATTGGATTTGCTTAATGATTTATAAATTAATATTTATATTATTGTATTTTTGTATATGTGGTGATTTACTTATTTAAATTAAATATATGGTTTGAAAGTTATAAATAGAAATATGTAATTTTATTATACATATTCAAGATATTGAATTATTTTTTTAATAGATAAATTAGATATAAGTCTTATGACTTTTAAAAAATATATTTATTTAAATAGTTTAACAATTTATTTATAAAGAAGCTTAACGAACACCAACGAAAGTTGTTTTAAGTAGCAAACAGTTCAGTATCGAGTTTGAGTTTTTGTATATGCAAAAAATCTCTAATGGTAGACTCATTTACCACATCCAGGTGTACGACCTAAGTTAGATCTAGATTAAATTAGATGAGAAACAAAAAAAAATAAAAATTAATGACTTATTAAATATTTTAAAATAAAATATTATTAAACATGTCAGATTTATTTATATAAAATTTAACATAACCTATTTTCTTTCTTACACATAAGTATGCTTAAAAGTATCATATTATACACATGATAATTTTGTGTGTGTTAATTTGCATAACTTTGACATTGTGACAAATTTTAGTGTACAAGGCCAGATACTTTAAGGTTAAACTTATCTCTCACTATACAAAAAGTTATATTTTTATAAATAATTATAGGATATTATTTTTTATAAATAATTTTAAAACATATTAATTTAGTAGAAACAAAAGCTGTATATACATATACGGGGAATTTTCTTACAAATGTTTATGTCTTTAATAATATTTTTTTCTTTTTCAAAACATAAAATTATACGTCATTTATAAATTGTATTAAAAAATAGGCATGTGCTTTATTTTTTTTTATTTTTGTTACAGCATGTGTTTACTTATTTATCAAAAAACTACCTCTGAGAAATTATTTTTCAAATAATTTTAGTCATTTTAATATCTACAAGTTTTTTTTTATACAATTTTTCTCTACTTATTATTATTGTAGTTGTTATCAACAATTAATTTTAAATGCATATTATCAACTTAAAGACTTTAATAGATAAAATTAATTTTTTTAACGAAACTCCAAATATTATGATAATGCATTTAATTTATCATTCGAGATCTATCACACTGTATAATAAAAATATTTATTTATTTATTTTTATCAATCAACGAAGGCTAATGCAGTAAGAATCAGTTGAAACTTTTATGTATAAAAGAAACATAGTTTGCTTTTATCTTATAAAGTTCTGAAATTATTTGTCATTCGAACTTAACTGTCAATAATACTAAAAATTAGAGAAGGTAACTCAACTCATACGAGACTTTTATGCATAAAAAATAGTTTGCTTTTATCCTATAAAGTTCTGAAATCAATTGTTATTCAGACTTAATTGTCAATAATAATAAAAATTATAAAAGAAATTTTTTAAAAGCATGTTTATGCTCACTCAGAACCATTAAAAATCTCATTTTTATTAACATAATCAAGACAAATACAATTCTTTTATTTTTCAAGAGAAAAAATATTTATAAACTAGAAAGAAAAGACAATAACTTTGAAATATCTTCTAAGAAAAGACAAAGTAACATATCCTTTAAATATTTCGTACAAGAAACTAAAATATAAATATCAATAAAAATATTCTATTTTATTTTTTGTTCTTTTTCTTAATACCATGCATGAGTACAAAAGTCCATGCGTATCAAATCAAACAACACATGACATATACAATAAAGATTCTTTAATAATATTGCATTATGTTTATCAACACATCATATCATTTTTTATGCATTGTTTTCTCTTTTTTATGGAATTAAACAGAATAGTCAAAATTCTGGGGTGAAAATCACAAAGACTTTTCCCTGAAACTTAGCCTCAGTGGGAAGACCCCATCAATTAGTATAGAGAGAAAGAACAATGAAGGTTCTCATCTGCTTTCTCTCTCCAACAACCTCAAAAATCTCACGCAACTATGTTCTGAATTTTCATTCAGTGTAGTTTCTTCCTTTTCTTCTCTCTCTTCCTTTCCTTTGGTAAGTTCACTCTCATGAATTTTGAATATGTCTCCCTCTCCTTGAATTTCTTTTTTATTATTATTGTTATTATTATGTGGATTTTATGCAATTCAATATGATGTTTGGATAATGGGTTTTTATTTAAATGACACCCCATTTGAAAGTTACGTGCTTTGATAACAACAAGGTGTGATTTTTGTGGGATTTCAATTTTCAGTTTGGATTTGTTGTGCTGCTTTCTCTCTCTTCTGTTTCTGTCTCTGCGGTGGTGTGATTGAGGATAAGTTCTATTTCTGTGGTTGAACTTGAAGCTACCTATTTCTTGCATGAATTTTTTTGTCCTCTCTAATGTATTTGTAGTGATTGAATTTATTGTTTAAGGGTAAATTTTAATATAATTTCAATTTGCATGTGTGAATTTATGGAGCTTTGTTTCCGTTCTGTAATTGTTGGACTTGACCTGTTCTTTGTTGTTATGATGGAAGGAAGTATTCTTTTTATCTGATAATAATAACAATACATTCATAACTGAATAAATTCGAAATCCATTTGAAAATTTTTGTTTTGGGTGATTATAGTTGTGGTATTTTGCATCTGGGTAGGCTGGTTTACTCAATGATTCTGAATTGTTTACGTTTTATTATCTGTAATTAGTGTCAAATTTGTTGTAATTCCTCAAGATTTAATTCGAGAGAGTTGACTATAAGCTAGAAGCTCCAGAGTTCCTGTGTTCATTGTAAGACTTCATTTATAATTTCCTTTTTACTGTGGCGGTTATTTTCTTGTTTGAAATATGTTGTCATAACCATGAAATTCAATCTAAAGCTTTCTTTATACTTTAATTGAAGGGTAAAATACTAAAATATCTCTCGTTTGTATGCCTTGGTCACATTGTTTTCTTTGAATCAACTTTTATGGCAACCAAAAATCACTTTTTGAGGTTGAGAATAACATGATGAAACTACCTGATCTGACGACAAGGTAGTGGCTGGAGTTAGAGAGAATGTTCTTTATTTTACTTTGAAACCAAACTTAGGTACAATTCTCTAGGTACTTTTGGTGTTGTTTTCCAAACAAAATTTGAGTTTCATGTGGGTGAAAAAGGTTGACATTTATTGTTATCGTAGGTTCCTGAGGTGAAATCTAATTTTGAATGGAAATTAGCAGCAAAATTACCTAAATAATTGCACGTAAGTTTTGTCCTTAATATTGGTCTCTTTGCTGGTTCTAAATAGTTGGAGCTTGCTTATTCCTTTCTCTCTTGAGTCTACCATTTTACTACTGTTAAGGATATACTTATCAGTATTAAGCATCTGGTGTTCTGCCAGAAGACTTTAGGACTAGTTAGCTGTTAAATGTTGTTGTTAATTTTTTAACCCATTTTTTGGCTTCATTGGTGACTATTATTTCTGAAGCGCTACACTTGGTGCAGAAGCAAAGTGAACTTTTGGTGCATCATTTTCAATTTAAAATTTCTAGTGAAAGAGAAAGGATGTCAAGTGGAGCAACATACTGGTGCTATACATGCAGGCAACCAATCTGGCTTGGGGGAAGTGATGCCACATGCCCTTACTGCAATGGAGGCTTTGTGGAAGAATTTAATGAGATACAACGAGTTGCAACCCGACGCGGTTTTTCATCACAGCCAGAAGATTTTGTTCCAATGCCTGACATAGTTGATGCTATACAAGCTGTTATGGAACAAAGAGGCTCTGAACCAAGAGTTGGACTTAGAGATGCTGTTGAAAATTTCATGAGGCAAAGAATGGCTGGAAGATACTCAAACTTTGATGTTAGAAGGAGGTCTGGTTCTAACTCAGTTCCTGAACAGAATTGGGATGTTTATAGTTCAGGTCCTTATTTGATAGTTCATGGTCAAGGTGGTCAAGCTCCAGGGTTCACCTTGTCTAATAGCCACTCAAGGGGCGGTCCTAGGCATGCTGATTTTGGCAACTACTTTATGGGGACTGCTGGACTGGAAGGACTCCTTGAACAACTCACTACAAATGATCGGCTTGGCCCGCCGCCTGCATCGCGTTCTTCAATTGATGCAATGCCAACTATTAAGATCACACAAGCACATCTTCGCTCTGATTCACACTGTCCAGTTTGTAAAGAAAAATTTGAACTGGGTTCTGAGGCCAGGAAGATGCCATGTAACCATATTTACCATTCAGACTGTATTATTCCATGGTTAGTTCAGCATAACTCATGTCCTGTTTGCCGTGTTGAGCTGCCTCCTCAAGGTCGTCGTGCTAGTTCTCGGGGTATTCGAATTTGGGGTGGAAGGAATGCCAATAGTGGTGGTGACAGCAGTGATATCTCCAGCGGAAGGGAGAATAGCCAGGTGAACAATGGAAGTAGAAATATACTATCATCTTTCTGGCCATTTGGTTCTTCAAGTTCTAATACTTAATCCCTGTGCTAAAGGTTTTATTTCTTCTCCTGCATAAGTGTAATTGGTTGTGAAATAATGCTTGTAATTTCAATGACAAGAAAAAAGTTTCTGAAATTTGTACCTTGAATTTGATCTTTAGATCATAGATGTTTGTGAAAGTGTTTTGTAAATACAATTTTCTTGGAAGCATTTTTCATCTTACATTTTTATTACCTTAGAAGCTTTCACCTTCGTGCATAGGAAATTTGTATGATCCTTTTAGTATGTGTTTGGAAGAGAGGAGGGAAAGGAATCATAGGTGGGGAAAAATGGAGAAACAAAGGATAAATCCTTACCCTTTTTTGGATATTCATATTACCAAAATCAAAGAAGGAAATGGGGGCTTAATTAAATTAAAATGTTTACATAGGCTAATCTGATTATCATAATACATATTTTTCCTCCAAAACTCTCCAATATGGGCATCTCAAAAGAATGGAAGATATTAGAGGATTTATGAAAACTCTCCTTTTCTCCCATTCCCTTTTAAGAGATTCTCAAACAAAATAAAGTCTATTAATAAGTCTTTCCCTTCCCTTATTTTCCTTTAAATCTGTCATCCAAAAATACCTCTAGCCTCTAGGCAGCCTGATGTGCAAGAATATAGTGCTTAATTTTGAGACCGTTCTTAGATGAAGCTTTTAAGTATTGAATTATTCCATTATTTTCTGCTATTTAGATGTGGCTAAAGGTTTTGATACCAAATTAGACAACATAATGAAGAAGCTTTTATGATGTAACAGCACTATTGTGTCCGGTTCTCTAAATATATAGGAAAAAGCTTATCTAAAGTGCCAAGGCTTTTCATGATGCCAACTTATTGGCTTTTTTATAAAGGAAAAAACGTTATAAGGTTTATAATGAACTTAACTTTTAAAAAATCTAAGAGTGAATATCTCCTTAATTACCTCAAAGACAAGTTCACTTTATTAAGAATGCTTTCTGAAAATATTAAACCTTTTTAGTTCTCTTGGGAATGTTGCCAAGTTAATTATTCCACAGCATGATTTTAGTAAAAGCATGGGAATATTAGAATCTTTCTAGACTAGCCTTAGTTGCATTCCTATATTCCACATTTTTGGTGGATACATTTTGGGAGATATTTGGGCATGCTGAGCAAGATATAGCTCGCTGCAAGACATACTTTTTAATTATCAATTTACTCTTTTAAAAATACTTTTTAATACACTTTTTTATTTTAAAAAAATGTTAGCTATATCCTCATAATTTTTAAAACAAATACTTATTAAAAAAATAAACTAAATATAATAAGTGTGTTGAAAAATATATTAAAACCTCTCAATAAATAACTAAGAATATAATTTTACCATGTAGGACAGTAACCCAACAATTTCCATGATCTAAGGATAAGAACATTTGCTTTGAGTTAAAGTACCTCATAAATTAAACCAAAAAGGATTGAATGCTATTAGTATTTTTAGAGTATAATTTTGTAGAAATATTAAACATACAATGCTATAATTGAAAAATGAAAATTGGTGAGCACAAAGGTTGCTCTTGTGTTTTGGCATGAATGGATAGGCAACCAATGGACAAGAGATAAAAGAAGGAAGAAAACAACACAATTTTCATAGAGGATGAAGGACTTTTGGGATTTTTCCTTTTTTGGTGACATCCAAAAAGCACAAAAAGAGGGACCATGTGTTGCCATACATTAATTATCATGAACAGCACATTCTCTGCCGTGAGTGAAGGGTTGCATGGCACAAGAAAACTCTAATTTGCTCCTTAGGCAGGACCCAGATCAGGAAAAACTTGTGAGGTGCAAATGATTATATATTTAATATTTTTTCTAGTTTTGTTTTCCATTTATAAGGTATTTTCAATTCAACTACATAATTTAAAATATATATATTGTTAAAATTAAATGATCTATATTTTTTAAAATTTAATTATAATAATTCAAATTTATTTTCCATTTAAAGTTAAAATTTATTATCATATTAACTGCAGAAAAGCTAAATGGTTCAATATTTACGAAGGATAAATATGAGAAAATAATGAATACTTCTAAGCTTCGGTAAAAAAACTTATATTAAAGTCTTTTTTTAATATCAAATATTAAGGTCATTCTGTAAAATAGGTCTATCAAAAGTTTCTAAAAGATATTTTTGGGTGAAAATAAGAATTTTTATAAATAGAATAGAAGGGAAATTGGGCCACATTGGATTTCATTTTTTATGGATTTGGTGGACATTTTTTTATTGTTCGTTAAAAATCAAAAAAATTTGCACTATTTTGTTTTTGTTTTATATTTTATGAGAAATTATAGCAACTTATTTTTTAACACATTTTTAATTATAATTTATTAAAAATATAAAATTATAAGAAAAAAATTAATTATAAGTAAGAAAGAATTAAAAATAAATAATTTTTATAATTTTTAATAAATTTAGTTAACAGTTTGAGTATGTTAAAAAAAGTATATTAAATAGTGCCGCAACAGCAGTCATGAAACTAAGTAGAAACTTTTGTTATTGTAACTTTAAAATATTTATTTCACTCTAAATAAAAAATTATATTTTTTATTTGTTAATTTATTATTATTTTATTAGTTTTAACTTTTATTTTACAAATTAAAAATTGATAGTTTTTAAGAAACTTTAGTTTTTATGTTTTTTATATAAAGAAATATAATTTTAGAAAGAAAACAATATTTTTTATTTTAAATTCAAAAAGGAAATAATTATTTTATTTAGATTAAAGAAATAAAATATCTTCAAGAAATATTATTTTTTCTATTTTTTATAAAAGAAATGGATTTAAAAGTTATTTAATATTATTTATTTCAAATTAAATTAATAAGAAGTAATAATTTTATTTTTATTTTTATAAAAGGAAAGACAAATTTAAAAAAGAGATTTTTATGTTTTAGAATTTAAAAAAATTAATTGATAAGTCAAGTTTCCACCTCTGTATATTTACAAATGCAAAAGAGAAATTCAAGTCACATAGTTTTCTTAAAAAAAATCATAATTTTATAAGTTTTGAAGATGTTTTTTTTCTTACATTCAAAAAAATTAATTTTTATTTCTTAAAATGCTTGGTCCTTCAAAAAATTTGTACATTAGAAAACAAACATTACATTTTACACGAGAAAGATCATTTTTAAATGATGAAAAGAATTTTTCATTTTAAAATAATTCATTTGATAAGATATTTTAAAAAATTATTTCCTTTATTTTAGAAATAAACTTACTCAACACGTGGATTAACTGGTAGAGGTTAAATAAGTAGAAGAGAACAAACATTGAAACTATATTTAATTTTGGGACTTATTTATGCACCAAGAAATATTAGCACCTATAACAACAATTACATTCTAATTAATTATGTAATATTATTTTAATTTTAAAAATATTTATTTCATTTTAAATAAAAATAATTTATTTTTATGTTACTTGTAAATTTATTATTATTTTATTAGTTTTATTTTTTATCTTACAATTAAAAAAAAGAGCTAATTTATTAGAATCTTTGGTTTTTATGTTTTTTTATATAAAAAAAACACATCTTTAGATAGGAAATGAGATTTTTTTATTTTAAATTTAAAAAGGAGACAATCCTTTTATTTAAATTTAGATTAAAGAAATAAATTATCTACAAGAAATATTATTTTTTCTATTTTTGATAAAAGAAATGAATTTAAAACTTATTTTAATATTTTTTCCAATTAAACTAAGAAAAAGTAACAATTTTATTATTATTTTTTTAGAAAAAAGAAGATAAATTTGAAATTATTTTTTAGTCTTTTGAAATTCAAAATTAGATAGATAAATTATTAAAAAAATATATCTTTGGTATTTTAGAATTAGAAAAAAAAAAACTTACGAGTTAAATTTTTACTTCTATACATCTACAAATGCAAAAGAGAAATATAAGTCATGTAATTCTCTAAAAATAACAGGTTTAAATAAGTTATAAAGATGTTTTTTTTTCTTACACTTAGGAAAATAATTTTTATTTTTTAAAATGCTTGGTCCTTAAAAAAAATGTATATTAGAAATAAATATACCTTTTACACAAGATTACTCTTAATTGATGAAAAAGAAAAATTTAGAAAAAAAAAATATACATTTAGTTTGAATGATGGAGAAATTTTTTTTTGAATTTTGGGAATATTAAATTTAATTTAGGAGAAAATTATTTTAAAAAATAACTTCTTTTATTTTAAAAATAAAGTCACTCACAATATATGAATCCAGTGGTAAGAGACAACAATTTAACTTATGATTTCAAGTTTAGTAAATTTAGCGCAGTAATGACTCTTGCATTTCGAAAGAAGTTTGCAAAGATCTTTTTCATCTTTTTAAGTCTAAGTCTTATAGTTTATATCTTTCACTTGTAATTTAATAATGTCAATTTTTATATATTTATAATTTAATTATTCATAAAATTTATAATTTTTTTTAGATTTTTAAAATTTATTATTTTATATCTTTATAATAATAGCAATTTTTTTTTATCTTTTTTAAATAAATTTTATATATATCTCGTATCTATACGATAATTTTAAGAAAGTTTATAAACATATGTCCAAATGTAATTTTAATTTATAATCACAGATAAGTTTTGAATTAATAGAGCATTGAATGATAAATATTTAACATTTTTTGCAAATTTTAAGTATGAAGTTTATGATTTTTAGAATTAAAACTTTTACATCAATATCAACTCTTACAATTTCAATTTATCATGAAAATAAGTTTTTGTGTTGATAGATTGTTTAATGTTATTTTAGATTTTCCTCATTTACTCCCTACACACTATCACATATGCTTCACATAATTTCTACAATTTTCACTTAAGCCATATTTTCCTTGCTTAAACAAAAGTTACAAGAAAAAAAAAAGAGTTCACTAAATAAATATTGTTTAACTATTTATTAATTCACTTAAATTACATAAAATATTCTAATATTCGCTTAAACGAATAAAGTCAAACTTAAACAAAGTTTGAGTTAAGAAAGCATTTACATTATTATATCATAATTTCACTTAAGTTGACTTATGACTTGACTTAAGTCAAAATGATCTGACTTAATTTAAGTAAAAATTACAAAAATTATTTTTCTTGTTCGTTTTCTAGCATTTAACTACATTTCTTTAGTCACTATCCCTATTTTAATTTAGCCAAATTATTCATTTCTAAGAAAATTGAGTAAGTATATGATGTTTACAAATTTAATAATTCCATTTACAAAAATCACAATGCAAAGAGAGTATAATTGCTTATGTTGTTAGATTTGAAAAATAAGTTTGCATGCTACTTGAGAGAAAAAAAATTAAAGAAAAATTGAAGTAGGATAAAGAAGAATTAAACAAAGCTTTTATAACATTATTTCAAGTAGAGATTACTTAATTTTATTTGATTTTTAGATATTTCTTTTAAATTTTTATTTACTTAAATTTTAAGCACAACCAGTTAGTCAATCGAACCAACTGTTAAAAATATAAAAAATGCTTGAATTATCTGAAAAAAATGAAAAGAGTAAATTTAAGAGAATAGAATTAACTTTTAGATGAATAAAAAAAAGCTTACTTATTTTAAATATTTAGTATTTAAACATTCTTAACTTAAAAAGTTTATTGAAAATTAAATTATAAATATTATAATTTTTAAAATATGTTATATCATATTATTTTCTTAATTTATTTATGAGCATATAATACACTAATTTATATCATCCATTAACCATTGGTCAAGATGTATATTAATCATGAATTTGCATGAATTTTATCTCTCCCCGTTTTATTGATCATCTTGTCAGATTGTTTTCAGAAATTTATTATGAAATGAATCTAAATTTTTTAAAGTGTTTATAAGGGATAATTTTGAGAGAAAAAATAACAAAAAAATGATGAAAGGAGTGCAAATAGCAAAAAATAGAGGTGCAAAAAGCAACCCTCCAAAATAAAAAAGAAAGAAAACCTAAACCATATGGCTCCCGAAAAGCCCAGCATTCAATCAGATTCAAATGGAGCGGGGAAAAAAAAAAATCTGACTCTGGCTTAAAGAATATGACTCATAAAAGGCTTAAATTTTGACCAAAAAAAAAAATTAATCAAGATTAGGTTGAAAGAATCATGCTCATGCAGCTTATTCCCAAATTTGATTTGATTTGGACAAAGCAAAATAAAAACACAAATTTGATTACTACACTTAATTTAGACGAGTTGCATATATTAGCAGGTTTAAATTGTAAATAATCTTAAATAGCTTTTTAAACCGTTTTCTTAATTCTCACAAAAGAGAGTATTTAATGTTTTTATATTTGTAAGGCATTAAATGTGTTTATATTTATTTAATAATTCCTTTCTTCTTCTTTTTGCCATTCAATAATTCCTTGCATTAAAATATTAGAAATTTTACTTAAATATATTTGAAATGAATATAATAGCAATAATTCACACACCATATTCTATATAATTTACTAAATCAACATGCATGTTTTTTAATATTTTAATATTAAATTTAAAATCAGTTTTTTTTCTTGTTCAATGAATATATCTATACCAAATTACCAATGCAGGCCTTCTAAAATGTGTTTACTTCAAATGGTTAAAATTTAGTTATTTTCTAAGTATAAAAAATATTTTTTTTTAAAAAAAAATAGTTCATTTCAATTTTATTATTTTTAGAATATTATTGATATTTAATATATATATATATATATATATATATATATATATACATATTAGTTATTACTTTTTTATTTCATTAAAGGACAAAAATATAATTATGCCAGTTATTAAAAATCTATTTATCATGTTATCATCTAATGAAACAGAATTAACAGCAGCAATTATATAACATCTACTTATATTAAACAATAATTTTATAAAAATTAAAAATAATTAATTTTTATTACTGATGCTTTAAAAAATTTGATTTTATGAATAATTTTTACAAATAATTTCAAACAAGTAAAAATATTTATTTTATTAAAAATATACACTATAATAAATATTTTATATTTATTATTATCTACTTAAAATCATTGGTTAATTTAATATTTTGTTAATGATGATGATGATAATAATAATAATGTCTCAATTTCAGAAGAATTTTACCGAATTTGGTCATGAGGAACACATGAACAAAAAGCACATTTTCTTGACTTCACAGTTGACATTTTCCGATGCACTAAAAAATTTGCAGCTGAATTGAAGTTACAATATTTCACTTATCCATGGCTTCCTCTCACTTTCTCTGCAGTAACCATGTTTTCCCCACTTCCCAAAACCCCTTCAGAAGCATCCATTTTCCTCAATTCAGACCAAATGGGTCATCAAATTTCCCCTCAAAGCTTCAGTTTCAGAGACCCCATTCGGTCAAAGCAATGGTTTCTAATTCCAACACTTCCAGAAAACAAGTAGAGGTTACCCCTTTTGTCCCCTCTTTTTTTGTTTTTCTGTTATGCTTTGTATTGAAGTTTCACTGTGGTTGTTTTTGTTGAATGGCATTTGTTTAGGGATAAAGTTTGAATATTTTTTAAGTGGGTAATGCTTCGGATTGAATTTTGTTGATTTTTATATCTACAGTTTTTTTAAAATGTTGTGAATATGTGTTGGTAAAATTAGATTGTGTATGACCCTGAAGGAAGGATAAACAAGTTGGCGGATGAAGTGGACAAGGATGCTCCTCTTTCAAGGCTTACTTTGTTCTCTCCTTGCAAGGTAACCCTTCCATTCTCTTGCTTAGAGGCTACTCAAATTTGTTTGCTTTTTTGTGTTGAAATTGCCAGCCCTTTTGTTGCAGATAAATGTTTTTTTGAGAATAACCAAGAAGAGAGAAGATGGATACCATGATTTGGCATCCCTTTTTCATGTAAGTGATCACAGTTTGGTAAATGCTTCAATGGATTTTTTTTATCCATTTGCTTGTTTATATGGTTTATGCATTGTTGAGCATGTCTTACTTATGTCTTTTTGAGTATTTTCAGGTGATAAGTCTAGGTGACATAATTAAGTTCTCTTTGTCACCTTCAAAAACCAAGGATAGCCTCTCAGCCAATGTGGCCGGGGTGCCCCTTGATGATAGAAATTTGGTACTACTGTTTCCCTTCTTGAGCTTTTTTCCTTCTTCTGGTCATTTATTTGTTCAGAGAATGTTATATGAAAGTTCTCGTTTTACAGATTATTAAGGCGCTTAATCTTTATAGGAAGAAGACTGGTAGTGACAAGTTCTTTTGGGTATGCAGTAATGATACTATGTTATAGTATCTTCCTTATTTTTATTATTTTTGAATTAAAAAATGCATGCTCCTTTATATTACTTGGAATTCTAGGTAGAACAAGTTTTAATGTTTATTGTATTTATTCATGTTGTTGTCAGATTCATCTTGATAAACGGGTGCCCACTGGGGCAGGGCTTGGTGGAGGAAGTAGCAATGCTGCAACTGCACTATGGGCGGCAAATCAATTCAATGGTTGTCCTGCCTCAGAGAAAGAACTCCAAGAATGGTCAAGTGAGATTGGATCAGATATTCCCTTCTTTTTTTCTCAGGGAGCAGCCTATTGCACTGGTCGAGGTGAGGTTAGTCCAAATAGTAGGTACCTACCGTTTCTCAAAATCAGATTTGAGAATAACCGCTAGATGTTTACTTCATATTAATGCGTGGGTCTCAGTGTGTGCTGCCAATCAATAATATCTGATAATTCTTATTAATTGCTACAATGGATTAGGCTGTGAATAGAGTTATGCCTCTGTCTTGCAATACAACCTAAGAGTCATGGTGCCGAACTTTGATAATCATCCACTGCTGTTTAAATATGAGCTAATGATATTCATTGTTAATATGAGTATGTGCCCAACATTTACAATTGTTTTGTTCATATTACCTAGATTGATCTTTATTCCTGAAACAGCAAAACCATTAATAATATAGTACTGGAAGACATCAGATCATTTAGTCATGAATGGGAAGGAATTTGTCTGTTCCTTAAATATTGAAATTTGAAAGTATTCAACTATTCTATTTGACAGTTATAACCCTTTAACCTTGTGCAGGCAGCTAGGTTTACTCAATGTGATTTCCCAATCATTATATTTTATTCAAGATTTTTCTTGTAACTTGCGCAGGTTGTCCAGGATATTCCTCCACCAGTATCTTTGGACATTCCAATGGTTCTCATAAAGCCCCCACAAGCATGTTCAACTGCAGAAGTCTACAAGGTATTTGACTTTTTAGAATAGTAACAAACCCATGTTTTCCCTCTGGTTTTTACAATCACAAGTTTAACAAGTTCCAATGATACAGCGCCTACGGTTGGACCAGACTAGTAGTGTTGATCCTTTAACATTACTGGAGAAGATCTCAAGGAATGGTATCTCGCAAGATGTTTGTATTAATGATTTAGGTATGCTTGTAGCTGTGTTTTTATCATTTTTCCTTTTCTTTAATATATTTTTCACTTTATCTTTGATTTGATTTTCATGAATGTACATTGTACATAATTCCATGAGGTTTTTAGTGTGAAGGTAGTCTTGCAGAACTGAGATTCCAGTCTCATTGTATAATTGTATTGTATCTAAAACATACTATGAAATATTACCTATGCCCCTTAATGTCTTGCAAACCAAACTTTCCTATCATTGACATTGTTATATTAGATCCTGATAAACTTTGACAAGCATCAGAATACTAATCAAAGTTGGTTGGTACTGTTCTTGTCTAATGCATTTTATTTTTCATTTGATTTTTAATTTTGTTTTCATGTTTTTTTGCCTTGTTTTTTCATCTGCAGAACCTCCAGCATTTGAAGTTCTCCCTTCACTCAAAAAACTGAAGCAGAGAATTACTGCAGCTGGTCGCGGAGAGTATGATGCTGTTTTCATGTCAGGAAGGTGAAAACACTGGAAAACCTAACCTTTAATATCTACTCTGGCATTTTTGTAAAAATCAAATATACTTGCTGGTGCTCTCAGACACAAACATATTTATATTTCGGTGTCCTAGGGTATCCCCACATCTTTTTGTTGAGTCTAATCCCTTCTGTCACCGAGAGATGCAGTTAGACCCTCTCCACAATTACTGTTTCCATGACTCAAACAGCCATCTTCTCCTGGAGCACAGTTCACGTACTACTGTGACCAACCCCTTGTGAATATGATCTGATCTTTGTCATAATGAATTTTATTTATTAAAAAAGAATTATGTGTATTAGCCTAAGTTAATCAAACTCACAGTAGAGCCAGAAACAAGTAAAAATACTTTCATAAGATAGTCATGGTTTTAATTTAAAATTTTATTTAAAATTCTTTGAAGTTCAGGGGGCTTTGACATTGTTAGGACAGAAGGGGGTATCTGCTAAGAATAAAGGGGAGAGAAACAAAATAGTTAGTATTGACAGTTAAAGCAGGTAGTCAATTAGAGGGGAATAGTTATATAAATAAATAGAGGGTGTACAGGTAGAGGATCAGTCTGACTGCTAGCATTTGGGAGCTGAGATGTTTAGAAAGTATGAAGGACTGACACTCCTCTTACTTATGGTGTCAGAATGTTGGACATGCGTCAACACCTTTACGACACACAGACACATCTTGGACATTTCTCACTAGCTGTCCGATTAGAAAAAGTATTGACAGCTCAGACACTTGAGTTAACGCCTTTGTACAGCTAGATACTTCAAGAACAATAGTATTATAGAAAAAATTAAATGGTGAATATACCTATCTAGAAAAATCTAATACACCTTTTATTACTTTTTCTTTTTTTGTAAGGTGACAAAGTTCTTGCTAAACAATGCCTCTTAGTAGTTTTGCCTAGGCTCATCATTATCATAGGAAGGTGAATATAGAAATCTTGATTAACTGCTTAGATCATTTGTCATGTTAATCATTCAATTTCATTTACTTTCTCATGTATGTGTGTGTGCACACTCGTGTCCTACATTTTGGGCATTGGCTATGTTGGATTGTCTATGTGTCTGAGTCTGTGCTTCATAGGTAGAAAAAGCTTTGTGAAAGGAAAACTCTAAGAAGGAGATTTCACTCCTTTTCTGTTCAGATGTCACCTCCTTTTCAATTTTGGTTTGTTGGTTCATGACAAACATCTCTCTCGTACTTTGGTGAAATGAAGTTGTATACTCTTTCCATGAATTTTGTCAGTAGTGAATTTTCCAGAAATACCCATGTAGTTGAATTATTGAATTTATTCCTTTACAAATAGTTTTGAAAGGTTCTAAGCAAAAATAAGCTGAGGTTTACACTTCCCTGTTCTGAAGGATATTAATAGTGTTAAAGTAGTCCAGTGTTTGTTTTGCTCTTCTTGTTGCTTTAATACAAAATCTTGATTTTAAAAGATGCAGTCATCTTATATGCTGTCTTCATACATCTCATGCAGTGGAAGCACCATTGTTGGCATTGGTTCACCTGATCCTCCACAATTTGTTTATGACGATGATGAATACAAAGACGTGTTCTTGTCAGGTAAGCTTATATTGAAAACTCTGTTCATGTATATGATGTATTGAATCTCTGATTCCATACGTAGTTATGTACATCCACTTATCCAGAAGCTAAAATGATTAAATCGGTCTTTCATATGCTGCAACATTTTTTGTTGGAAGGTGGGAAATGAATTTAGCTGTTGACATGTGCTAAGTTTATTTGTATAGCATAAGATCACGAGGTTCCACATGCATTAGAAGCTCTGCAAAATGTGAGCTATTAGGAAACATAAACACCTTGTAGCTGAATTTAATTTTAAAAAAATGCACTGATCAACACACAGTCCACACAAACAGACATGTGGCTATATCTGAAGCCCCCCTTTGAATGCAGTTTTGACGGGGAAAATGAATTCTGGTAAGCCAAATGGCATTTTGGGTGGAGTGTGCTGAAAAGTTTGTGCCACTGGCAGCATGATTTGAAAGGATGCTGCGTTTGTCTCATTAAACATTTTAGATAGTGCTGTCTGCTGGCTCTGGTTTTTAATGTGTCTTGTAGTCCTTAAACCCCTATTCTAGGACAAATATGATTTATTTTCTTATTAATGGTTATTGAAGTAAGAATCGTTCATGAAAGGCTAGAGTTGTCACATTAGTTTGCATTCAATTGATTGAGAGACATTGAAGAAAAAGAACCCCTTTCTGAAAGCACATTTTATTATAAGTTAGAATAAGCACGCATATTGGTTGTTTATACCAAGCTAGGTGGAGCAAAAAATGTCCACCCCTTAAACTAGTTTTGACATATTAGAATGCCACCTCCAAGGGGTTGGTTGATGGAGCAAAACAGAGTCTCACACTAACTGGTCATAAATTTGAACCTCCGCCACCTTGGAATGTGGTGAATGAGCTAGACGGTTTTTCCTGGTTTGGAATGGGGTACCATTCCCTCCCCCTGAACAATTTTGTGCTGAAAAAGAATGTCACCTCCAATGATATAATCTAAATAATCCTCTTAGGTAATAAATAAAGAATTGAATTTTTTTATTTTTTTTTTATGTTATCAATATGCTGAATACATCTTGTTGAGAAAGACAAAAATGAGAATAAGTTAAACCTGTGTGAGATGCACAGCAGAGGTATCTATTTATAATAATGCATAATTATTACATAATATTATATAATATTACATGATATTCTGTTATCAACTATCACTATTTCTACGTTTACCTTGGTTATATAGTTACCTTATTTACATACATTAATCTCAAAACATCTATTTTTTTTAGTACTTACTAATTATTAGAAAGTTGTTTTAGGGCGATCTACCAAAAGCTCATGATTGAATTGGTTCAAATGGGGACTTCTAACCTTTATTCTTTCTAATTGCAGATGCCTATTTTTTAACTCGAGAGGAAAATCAGTGGTACAGGGAACATGTTTCAAGTCCTTCTGCCTCTCCTGTGGTTTCTGAGTCCGTTTAATCAATCATTTTGTAAGATAATAAGATAGTAATGTAAAACTGCATTATTTTGTCTGTTTCCCTGCATCATTTAATGATGTATAAATTAAATTTTTATGCTTTGACTGCTGGGAATCAATAAAATTAAAGAATGAAAGAAAATGGATGAATGAAATATATAAGGCAGGGCCTCTAATTTATAACTGTGCCTAAGCAATTGGTCTTAAAGCATGCCTTTAGGGACTCTTTAAAGGCTGAAATTAATGCTTTAACTTGAAGATAGTCCTAGTCTCCCAGATGCCAAACATGTTTTCAACAGTTTTGAAGTGGCCATGATGCATAGCTTTAACATTGAATTGAAAGTCACAAAAATAAAAGGGGGTAAAATAATAGTCTGAATGGTTATGGATTTCAACATATCAGTTTCAGTTGTCAGTTGTGGCTTCACTTGAGGAATGTGTAAATATTGTGCACCTTACTAATATTAGATGTTGTACCCTTTTGTGTCAAATTCTAGGATTTAATTTAGGAAAAAGTCCATCTTATATCCTTATATGTTTGATCGTATTCTACGCGATACTCCGTACTTTTGAGAGTTTGCAAAAAAGTTTTTCTGTTATTCGGTTGTTCAATTTATCTGTTTCTTGACCAAAAATACCTTAAAAAATGCTTATTTTTGTAAAGATATCAGAAATTAGGGATTTTGGAGTATTTTTATTCAAGAAATGAAGAAATTAGATGACTGAATAATGCAAGAATTTTATTTACACTTTCAAAAGTCAAGATCTAAATTGTACATAATCAAAATTATACAGAGTTAAAGTGATTTTTTTCTTTAATTTATAGATACATTTAATATATTTTAAAAAATAAATTTTAAAGTGACTTAAATTATTTTTAAATGAAATTGAGTAATTTGATATTATATGAAAATTAAATTCTTAAGTTGATTTAGTATGTCTTTCGTAATATAATTTTTGGACTAAATATACTTTTGAATATTAATTTTTTTGAAAAAAAAAAGAATGGTGTAACTAGTAAAAATGAGTGGTGCAAATTTTTTTTATAATTTATGGCAATCGAGTTTTTGAAAAATAGAAAAAGTTAGTCTGCTTCCCTGGTCAATATTATAAAGAGGCGACTTATCAATTAAAAGAGTGTTTTTTTCCCCTTTATAACTAAAATATCAGCATTTAATTATGGGAATAAAGAAAATGTTCCTTTTCTTCCTCGTGTTTAACTAGGTATTCTTAGAGATATTACTGTGAGACTAACCTTCATTGGCGGGGAATGGTGTTATTAGGTGTCCCACCTTGACTCTTGATGTAACAGTTACCAGTATGCTGTTTACCACCTCCAGCCCTCTAAATAACCGTTAACAATGGCGTCTGAATCAAAATAAATTAATTAGAACCGTCCGAATTGAAATGAACAATTTTTCAATTATTCATTGAATATGAATGCAATAATAGGTTGTATGTGGTTAATCTCAGTCGTGTAATTCGTTATTGTGCATTGAAGATGAATGCAGCAAATCAAGTTGTATGTGGTTAATCTCGGTCGTGTTCTTAAATAGGACGTCCATTCTATACTAAACTTGTTAAACAAATTTGACTTGAGCCCAACTCGATTTAATAAAATTATAGCCTTGATCTTTCGAAAATGTACTGCCATAAACCTATTTGGAGACATTTTTTCGGAGAAATTTTTGTCATCCAATCCAATCCGGTCACTCACGTATCAAAACGTATGCATTTTTTTTTAAATGTAAAATTTTAACACAGGCAATATGAATGGTCATAACGACATAATACCCAATAATTTTTTGTCCAGGGTGCAGCCTAACTAAAAAAAAATGCCAGATTTGTATAGGGTAAGGTAAGCAAACGAGGCAACGAGATATCAGGCATGTAACTGAACTGTGCTTGCGATAGGGAGTGACGGGCAATGTGTACTGTGCATGTGAAAGTATGAGAAGTTCACTGAAAGCATACCACCAACATCATATCAACTATAGCATCATAAGAACAAACATCAAATCCACACATTTTTTGGTCTTTCTTTTTATTCATTTAATTTCACCCCTCATTCTACAGAGAAGGAGAAGAAACAAACTGTCTCGGTAAACTGAAAAGATCTTTCCCTTCAAATGGAGAACTCCATTCCCAAGAACCTGATGCTTCCGCAGCAGGAACTGCACCATCTTGCAATCCAGGCAAGGGAACAATGCTACCATTAGAGGGTAATGATCTAATCGATGGCTGAGCAACTACACCAGAAGCATTTGAACCGTATACAGCATTACTCTTTGTAAAAGGTGAAAGCCCAAGCAATAATGCATTAGACCTTGGTGGAGATAAGCCTCGATCCAAGGACCAGTCTATGTTGGTATAATCAAATTGCATTGACCCACCAGTGCTCCAGTCTACCGGAGAAGTTGCCCCCGATGTTGCTGCAGATCCTAACCCAGAAAAGAGTCCGAGAGATGAAGCGGCAGCAAGTGATGGGGATGCACCCGTTCTATTCCATAAGCTATTCCCACGGTTGGCTGCTTGGAAATCGACTGAATTGCCACTCCCGGCCACAAACTGTTGTGGATGTTGATACTGAAGTTGGTGATACAGTTGATTAGAACTGACAAAGTTTGAACCAAGGCTTCTAGCGCTAGGAGTGTGAGACATAAAGCCATTGGACCTCATGATTTCCACACTGTTAGTTGGATACCAACTGGCAGCTACTCCAGGCGGAGAAGAACTCATGCTGGTGGCTGGAATCTGCTTTGCATTTACAGTTTGAGGCCGCTGCATCATAATTACTGGCTCCCTAGCTACTCCAGGTTGAAGGTTCTTATAATCACCTCCAACAGCCATATAAGAAACTTCTGTCTTGGCAGGTGTTGGTGACACTTGCAATGGTGATGCCAATGAATAAGAAGCTGAAGGGTTAGACCCTGCACCTGGCCACCTCTTGTCAGTCGGTATGGCAGCTTGTTGAGGCTTTGCCCATTCAGACTTGGGTTGGATTCTCTTAAGGGGCTGCACATGTCTATTGCTGGATTCTGTAGATCCTCCTAGCATAACTGCTTGCTTTGTATAGTTAAAGTCCTTTTCATCTTTTTTGGGTTGATTTGGAGAAAGAATGGGTTTTGTCTGTGACCTTGCGTTCTGACTCACAACTCCAGGCTGCTTACTATTAAGGGAAGGAGGATCACCAATTTCCTCCAGCTTTGGTAAACCAGATGGCCGATCCAGTTTCAATTCTCTTAAAGACTCTGCAGCCTTATCAAGATCACCCTCACATGCAACAACTGCTCTTTCAACCTCCTGTTTCAAGCAATTATACCTGGTTTCTAGATCAGCAATCCGAGCAAGTTCCTCTGATATGTCAATTTTCAAACTACCCCCACCTACACTTGTGTCCTTGTGATTATCTGCATCTTCCCCGCCTTCAAAAAGCCATGCTACTGATTCCTCCACCCTTCCTTCATTCAGTATTAATGCCACTGTTGCACGCTCATAAGAAAACCCCATTGCCACAAGCTGTTGAGCAAGTGCCTCAAGCTTCCTTGACATCAGATATCCACTGCAACGATCATGCAACTCTTGTGCTCGCCTTTCCTTCTGTCTTTGATGTTTCCTCTCATTCTTTTGGCGGATTTTCTCTCGCTTGTCATTATCAGCTCCAGGTACTGCTTCCAGTTGAGTAGGAGGATTAGAAGCTTTCTCTTTATGGTCCTCTGACTCACCAGACCAACTACCATTGTTAGAAACAGAATCATACTCCACACCAGCTACCACTGAGCCTGCAGGATGTTCATCTGTCTCATCTATGTTCCGAAAACGACCATTAGAATGCACTGGTGAAGTAGATGTGGGTGACATCTCCAGAGTATGGAATGTTCCCAATAAAGGATTGTATGCACTGGCTGGTACACCAGCTACTGCATTACCAGATCCTGAAGACTTAGCAGACGACTTCTGCACTTCCTTGCCAGCCTTTTTGTCTTTAGACTTAGATTTGGAAGCAGGAGACATCTCTTCAGAAATGTGAAGCAAATATGTCCCTGCAATATAAAAGAAAAATAATGAGACCGATTGTTTTCTAATGGACTACCAAATTATTGGAGTAATATCTAACAAATATGTTATGCATCAAATAAAAAACCAAACCAAATCTACAAGATAACATTCATTTAACATCATAACTCGTAAGTGTGGATCCATTTGCAAATAACAAGCTTAAGTACTGGAGGTAGACACACCCAGTAAATATTACAAACTACAAAGGGACAAGGAAACCCAGGGGGAGGGGGGTTGTTTAATTGATACAAAAGTAAGCATTAATTCAAAATCCAATTGGATTTGTTCTTGCATTGGTTAGCAGTTTCCTTCTATGGAATAACTGGTTTGGTGCACATTGTCTTTGCTGCAATAATATTCAACTGTTTCCACATGTAAATTTTTGAGGATTTGGCATTAGCAGAGATGCTGAAAGGCTTTTTGGTGCTGTTATCAATTTGGGGTTCTCTGGTGTATGAGTGCAAAGCAAAGCTAGAATCTTTACTGGTTGTCATTTTCCTACCTTTTATGTGGTGCTTTACTCATGGTCATTTTACTGGTTGTCTTTCTTGTTCTTAGTTTTTCCTCTTTATTCTTGGTCCTCATTTCTTTAGTTAATGAGGATTCCTTATCTTCTTGCAATTGCATTTGTATCTTTCTCTTCTATCTTTATAAATTCTTTGTTTACAAGAAAAAAGAAAGAAAGACAATGCATAATTTCCTAGAGATTCCAAAATCTTTCCAGGATTATAATAGCTTTGAAAAATGAATTTAAGAACACAAGACCCTTCTTCTACCACTGATTACTAACTTCATTTACGTCCATAGAGATCTCTAGAAATTTAATAAGAAGAATATAATGGATAATTTATTTTATGACAAAAATCATGTTTTTCAAAAGAAGCACAGAGCAGTGCAGGGGAATTGAGTTGTTGCTTGAAATAGACAAGAATATGAAACAAAAAAAGAAAATTTGTTTGATCCAAGTATGGAAAGGATGGAATCTAATAGTGCATGAATCAAATAGTCTAAAATATAAGCTTTCACACATACCATTACAGCACTTCAATCAGGCACGATTACTATAACAATGAATTTCTAAAACAAAAAATATTAAGAACCAATACCAAAGGATCCAGTCAACCATTTTATCCCTTACTTTATACACAACAAAAGTAGATAAACTATTTGATCAATATTGAAAGGAAGTAAAATGATAGTGCAGGAATCTGCGTCTCATAAGAACTGGGTCAGGCCGTGAATTTCCAATGGACTGAATGAAAAATATACAGTAACACAGGACATTTGAGAGGCCCCGATCTCACCTCAACTCCTCAGTCAATACCTCCTTCCTAATCTCTCTACTCTTCTCTTGTTTAATATTTCTTCATAGCTTAGAACAGAATGTCCCTCCAATTTTCCTCTATGCCCTCCATGAAGGCAGTTAGTTTAACCCCAATCTAGCTAATTCCCTTTCCCAATTATGGTTTACATCACAACATTTATTCTTCACATACACCCTCACTATAGGAGATTCCTAATGCAATATAATGTATCACACAGATACAATTACAGGCAGTACTTCAATCAGGTACAAGTACAAATATATTGAAATTTTAACTAAAGAGCCAAAAATCATTACTTAAAACCATGGTCATTAATTAACTGGACTACAAACTGATCCACACAAATGATCAGATCACTGGTCCAATTGCAAGTGTTCTGGTCCATCTGGAAAAAAATAAGCCACACAGATTCTTTAGAAAAATTACAAAAGCCAGCCTCTTTTCCCAGCTTCTACCTGGGCCATGATGGCTGAAACAGTCAAACCCTCCAACTCAGTTTGGATTTTACAACTATGAAACAATATTGACCAAGCCCAGATTCTTGTACCCAACCTCACCTAGTGCATAACGCTTTTGTTGTTGAGAGAAAATAATATGTTGGAGGAAATCATTTCATTCAATTGCAACCAAATAACTAAAACAATAAAAACCAAGCTGATCCAAGTTTACTGAATAATTAGGCAACAGATAGAGCTTTAATTAAGACTGACAAGACAAGACAAAAAAATAAGAATAAAGAAGAGATGAACGAATACATCTTAGAGAAATCAAGCCAAACTACGTACCACTTCAAAGTGCACATTGCACAGTACATTTTCTAATCAATCTTTCAAGATACAAATATCAATACCCTATTCCTCTATATGGATAATAAGCACCAAAGCAAAAGTTTAAGGTTTATCAGCTGATGACTTTTAACTGTTTGCAAACCCAACACAGCCTTTCCACTGATGATTGCTACAGCTTACAATTCCCTGATTCCACTACCATAAAAGACATACAATACTGACCTCCAAACCAAGGAACAATTATAAGATACTTGATAGTCCAATATATAACGAGAACTATAGCAGCTAACCCTTAGAAGAAGCTATGACCACTCCCCCTCCTGAACCAAAAGCATAGGATCATGAATCAATCCATGTGCACATGGTAGTCAAAATCGAGATTCAATGTAGGACAGTACTGGAGTAAAACAGGGTTGTGTGAAGTGGAACGGAATTGCAGAGCAGAGGAAACCTTTAGGGAAGAAGTTCTGAATCAATTTTAGGGTTTCAAAAGGTTTTTAGCAAATCAAGTCACAAAGCAGGTCGCAGGTCATTGGATAAAAAATTTGGGTTTATCAACACATGGGGATCGTCCGAGCTTACCGATTCCACGGTCCAGCTCAGCGATCCCACCAATCTTGCTAATTCACAATTCTGTCACTGAGCTAGCATGGAGAGGGGGTTGGAGATCGTAAAATCGCACAAGGCTGCACACCATTTTGACTATCATCACCATGCATGTGCAGAAAAACCAGATCAGTTTGAGTTCCCTACTGTTACTCCAAGTTCTCCAACATTAATCTATGATCTAATCTTTCCACCCTGATCTGTATAGAATCTTTTGATAAAACATGGAAGCGAACAATCATAACAGGACTATATGTCTGTACGGGATCTCACAGCATATTTATCAGTTGAAGGAACACTTAAACAGAAACAACAATCAGAATTATCATTATTTGATTAATATTCTTTTCATGCATATCCCCATGCAAATGAGGATGGACTGAAGTTAAAAATCATAGTCCCCTTTCACCTTATTAATTAATATTATTTACCTTCCAATCCTTTCATCGAGAGGACAGGAAACAGCATTACATATAAAAAAAGCATTACACACTCCTAATGCAATGAAGCACATCCAGAAGAAAACCAAACTCCAAATTAAGGGCAGATCAAAAGTTCATAACCGTCATATGCAACCACTCAACTACCTTTGAATTTGAATGATATGCAACTAATACACTAATAGAGTAGTGACAGTATTATACTAATGACAGCACAGACACCTAGAAAAGCAACAAGCCTAATGATAGTGTCATAAAGACCACATCTTCTGATATAGCAAGATGTGCACATTCAGCTACATCAAAATTCAACTGCCACCATATTTATCTTAGAACAAGCACAACCATATAGTAATAGTCATACAAAAAAAGAACCTCACATTTTCAGATAATAAACTACAAGATATTCAATGCTACACTGCTACTAATTATTGCCACATCATCCCACTTCTAAACAACCAATATAGTCATTAAAGTGGCAGATAGAACTGAATGTTCACCAAAGATGGTTAAAACAAATTCAGTATTATCATCACAAACTTAAAAAAATAACAGAATTATATATGTATTCATCCAAACACTCTAAGATGACTCGCATAATTAGCTATAGACCATTATACCTTTAAAAACAACCAATCACTTTCCAAAACAGCTTTCCCACACTAAATCATCAATTACAACACAAAGATTTAGGCTCCCCCACAAAATACGATCATCAGCAGTTATTATTACCCAAGGCACCATTGCCCTTCATTTCAGCAATTTTTAACATTTCAATTAGTAACAAAAAGGAATTGTACAAAAATGATCCTCTGAATACGAAACAGAAGGTGGACATTGATGCCACGCCACAGCTAGTAGCTCAACTCAAACAAAAAGTTAAAAGTTCTTCCCCAAAGCTCAATACACTCTCCCAAATTTTCACAACTGCCAACCACTCTTATCAAATAAAATTAAAACTCTGACTAAACAACCAACCCAAAACACCGAAATTCCCCCAAAACACTGCAACAAACACATTCAAGCCCATGAAAAAATTCCCACTGCCTCCCCAAACAAAAACACAGATTGTCAATGTGCACCCAATACAAAACAATCAACAAAATCCGCACCAGCGAAAGAACCACCGCGAATCCCTCTCAAGGATCCATGAACAAACCAAAACCCAAACCAAATCCAGACACGCCCCCGAAGTCCCGATTCCAAAACCGCAAATTCGACAACTACGAAATGCGAATCTTCCACAATTACAAAAAATTGAATAAAACAAACAAACAAAACCTAAATAAAAAAACTGAAACTATATTACAGTCCAATTCACACAGCATCTATGGGTTCAGATTAAAAACGAAAAAACAGAGAGAAATTTGAGAAATAGAGAAGAATAACGAGGAGAAGGAGAAGAAAAACGAACCTGTAGATCGAGCTGTTGAATGGGGGAAAACCGTTGAGATGTTGGAGAGAGAGGGAGGGAGGGAGATAGGTTTTTCGAGGCTGAAAACTGAAATTGAGGGAATTAGGGTTTTGATTTGAAGAAACACGAGAGATCTGAAAATTTGCGAAAAGCGAAACGAAAAAACATCTAAATTCTCTTAACGGAACATAAATAGTGATATTCACTCATTGCTTTCTTCAATTCTTCTCATTTTCTTAAATAATAATTAATAATAATATTTTTTATTTACTTTCATATGGGGAACCACTTTTTTTTCTTTCGCTTGTTTTGCGTTTTCATTTTTCTCTTCTTCTTTTTTTATGGAGATATTCTCTCAGTGACCCACGTGTGAGTCAGAACTCAAAAATAAAATTATAATTATTACAGCGGCACTTCTAGAATATGCTACACCAAAAAATGTCAACTTGTCAAGTTTAATAATAATAATAATATTAATAATTAATAATAATAAGTAAAATAAATAAATAAATAAAGCCAAGAATTTAGCAGATACACAATAAAAAGGAAACATTTTGAAATAGAGAAACTACCAAATCGTAAAAACGAGTAAATAAGAAGTAAAGGCTAAAGGGTACGCTTTTTTTCAAAATATAAATACTTTTCATATAAATGATATTTTCAAAATCGAATCAATCGTAATATTAATCTCAACCATAATTGATTTTGAATTAAATTAAAGTAATAAAAAATATATTTTAAAGTTGAATAATATATTAAAAAATAAATTATTATAAAATATAAAACAATTCAGTAACGTAAAATTTTAAATAAATATAAAATAATCATATAACATATTTTATAATATAAAATTTTATAATAAAATAATTAAATATTAATAATTTACATGTAAATATCATATATGAATGTTGATTTAAAAATAAAAGGTAAAAATAGTTGTATATGTATATCCATTGAATACTTTTTTCTTAATTAATGTCATAAATGCATTCAATTAGCATGTTTTCAAAAATATATCCATGTTTTGATACATTTACTTTTCAATAGAACATAAGACTTCTTTATTCATCCATTGACTAGTTGATTAAGTGTATCAGATTTTATATAAAAATAAAGTTAATAAGTATTTCTTCATATTATTTACTGTAATGTTTAATATATTATTAAAATATAAATAAATATTAATAATTAAATGATATATTTATAAATATTTAAATTATGTAAATTTTAATATATATATATATATATATATATATATATATATAATGATTAAGCCAATATTATATAACTAAGTTAGATTAGTAAATTTTGTATTTTATAAATATTTTTAAGTAATATGAATATTTATTTTTTCAGTCTAGACTATAAATATTTTTTATTTAAAATAATTATGTTCGAGTCAAATAAAACTATAATTAATGACAATAAATTTTATCTGAATATTTAATATAATTTTATCTATTGAAACTTAATTATATGTTGCGTTGGAAAAGTCCTACCAATAACTTAAATTCCAAATTCTAAAATTCCACATATTCATAATATATAAATATATTTGATACATGATTTCAAAGAATCTTTAATATGCATATATAATAAATAATATCTTATAAAAAATATATTTTTATATTATAATATATTTATTCATAACTTAAATTTTCATATTACAAAACCAAAAATAATTATAAAAAAAAATCAATTACAAGACTAAGTTTAATTTATATTACATGTCTTTAATTATTATTAACAATTTGTTTTACACATTTTGGCTTATTAACTATTATATTTTTTTGTATTTAATTATGACAAATTGACTTTTTTTTACAAATACATAATATACTACTTATTAGATATTTTATATACAAATAAATTAAAATAGATTGTCTTATATAAAATAATAAAATTATGGAATTGAAATATTAATTTAAAAATTATGTATACTAGTAAAAAAAAATATAATAAACGCTAAATTCAATTAGTATGACATTATAAATTCCAATTTTTATTTGAAACTATGAGAATATAGTCGCTTAAAAATTTTGAATGGATAATATTATCGAATATAGTGGTCTTAATTAATAATAGATATATTTTTAATACATTTTACTATTTAATTAAAATAATAGATACATTTCTTACTTATTTTTTAACAATATCGTATTAATATTATTCTTGAATTTGTGTTTAGTTCAAATTATTTTCTAAAAATAATCACATTTTTTTCTTTGAGTGATAACCTTAAAAAATAATAATAATAATTTTAGAAGTTTTCTAAAATAAAAGTGCTTTTAGAAATTATTTTTTTATCATACTAAATGATTTTTATATTGAATTTTTTTTATTTTTAAATTTATATCTTTATTTAATTTATTTTTTATCTTACTTTTAGATGAATGAGTATAATACTAAGGTTAGCATTTTTATTATAATTTTTAATATAAAACTATATTGATTTATTTATAATATAATTTTTATTTGATATATCAAAATTTCATAGAATGTTTGGATTTTTCATATATAAAAAATAAAAATTTATTATATTTGAGATGTTAAATTATACTGTTGCTCAAAACTTTAGATGCTCAATTTTATTATATGAATGAATTCATAACTTTTCTACCATGATATATGTAAGCGATTCTTATTATATAAATTCAAAATCTTATTAGTTAATATTTATGATACTTTTTCATCAATTAAATATTTTATCCAAAAAAAAAATTATCTAAACATATTTAATTTTTTTAATTTTGATAATTTTTTTTATATTTTATTAACTATAATTATGATTGATCTATGTATTACTAAATCAATAAGTTTTGTATAATAAATATATACATGATATTGAGCCATAAAATAATGATTTGATTTAATAACATGGTTTTTCAGTATCTTAAAAATTTATGATTCTTTTATTAAGTACTTATTTTTTCTAAATAAATTTATCAATTATTTTATATTTTTAGTTAAAATATATATTTAATCCTTATAATTAACATTCATTTATGAATTAATTTATATATTTAAAAAATTTATATTTAATTTTTATATAAGTATTTTATTATATTTTAATAATTGTCATTATAATACTCTCGGTTATAAGAACTAAAATGCGTAAACGATAATGATCAAATCATAACAAAGTACTTTTATATATATATAAAGCATAACTTTTCTAAATACAAGCACTGAATATATAATTTAACATAAACTAAAACAAATTGAGACTAAAATAAATTTTCTTTAAAAAAACTATTTTTTTTTAAATTTTAAGTCACATATAATCTCCAATATTAATTTAAAAGTTTATTCCACCAACTTTTACATGGCTAAATACTCTCTTAAGCCATATTTTCTATCAAAACAGTAAAAGAAAAAGTAAGTGAAAGTAGTTCACCCTTTCCTTAAGCAAGGCATTTCCCCCTATTTAAAATTCCATTTCCATAGTACAAGTTGAAGGGAAATTTGGCGTTGACTCACCAACTCTCACTCGGCGCAACGCAATGGCCGAAAAAGGCCATATTCAACCCTCTGAGACGCATAACCAACAAGCAGAAGAGTACCTCGACGTTCTCACCAAAACCGGTCACAGAACTGGCGTTTCCAAACCCAGGTAATCGTAAATTCGCGATCATTCTCATTCAACTCAACGCAATTCCTCAAAATCTTACACGACTATGCGTGTGTGTTTTTAGAGGAGACGTTCATCGCGATGGCGATTATCATCGCGCCGTTCACGTGTGGATATTCGCTGAGAGAACGCAGGAATTGCTTCTCCAACGACGTGCTTCGTGCAAGGACTCGTGGCCTCATCTTTGGGACATTTCCAGCGCCGGTCACATTTCCGCTGGTGATTCCTCACTCATCACTGCTAGGTACTCTCTTCCTTGTGAATTACCATTTCTGTCCCTGAGAGAGTGAACTATTTGACCTTGGACAAGTGAATTTGGTTCTTAACTTTGTTAACTGTGAATTTGGTGCTTGGTATTATGGAAAGGCAAATTTACTCTAACGCTTTTGACTAGCATTGGCCAATTTGATGTAGATTTTATGACTAGTATCGGTGTTTCAACTTTCATCGTGGTACTAATGTTTAGAAATAAGTTCTTAGTTTGCTTGTTTTTTTGCAATAATTATATTTTTCTGAATTTTTTATTATATTTATAAATGTATCTTAAAGCATCGTATCATAGGTTTTTCAAGAGAAGACGCATTGTTGTATCAGATACGATACGAATTGTATCTAACACCCATATTTTATATTTTATCTGTGTATCTTATAGGTTAGGACCAAATTGATTGAACGTTACTAAACGAAATTGATTGTCAAAGTTGCTAGTAAATTTGTTATTTCAGGAATCAAATTGATGTTTTTGGCATGTCAAAGACCAAGTTGATCATTGATGGACCGTTTGACATGTTCAGCTTAATTATTTTTAGAAGGAATTTTTTTTTTTTTTTTTTTGAAATCTTTCTTGAGAAGTTACAAAAATAATTTTATTTTGTTGTAATAAGTTGGTTTGAATGTGAATGGCTTTGATTAAGCCTTGTGATAGGAACTAGGTATTTTATTAAGAAGAATTAGGGATGAATCCCAATTACAAAACTAACACTGCTGAACTTCAAGGGCCTGCACCTCCCAATGCCATAAAGGCCTCAATTTCCTTTCACCAATTCCCCCTCCCTCTTTAATCTCCACTCTTATTTATAGGCAACATGCCTTGTTCAACTAACTCACCTAACTCACCTAACTAACCAACTAATGGAGATTAACTAAGTAATTTGTTTAGACAAACTATCAATGGAGTGACCTATCAATAATCCCCTCCCTAAAGCTTCACCTTGTCCTCAAGGTGAAGGATTACAGAACTCCAACTGGGTCCCACCATCTTGATTTTACTTCCCAAACGTTGTCTTGTATTCCTCCTACCTCTAACACTTCCCTTTCATCAAGGTCTTCTTCCAACAACATGACCCTTAATTGTTTATTCTTGTAAATGTGGTCCGGGAAAAATTTCTCATCACATCTGAAACAGTCTTTTTTGCTGTCTTTCATTATACTCCACTGCTGACAATTCCTTAAAATTTCTCCCCCTTCTACTAACTCCAAGATTTTCAATGGGTTTATTGAAAGAATTTATACTGGAATTATTCGTTGTTGTAGAATTCAAATTTGAATTGTTCAGTGTAGAAGACTCCACACAACCTTCTTTTCTAAAGCTTTCTTTAGCACTTCTCTTGGTACCCGATCATATGCCTTTTCCAAATCAATAAAAACCATGTGCAAGTCTTTTCTGCATATATAGCTTCTATTGTAGACTTTTCTGGCATAAAACCAAATTGAAATTGGGTATTGAGCTGAATATAGAAATTGAATTACTAATCAAAAGTCTCTAGTGTTGTTGTTATGATTGATTTTTCAGGAGGGAGCTGCATATAGAAATTGAATTACTAATCAAGTGTTAGTGTCATTGTTATGATTAATTTTTCAGGAGGGAGCTCGAAGAAGAGTTGGGTGTAACCCTTCCTAAGGATGCATTCGAATTGATATTTGTTTTCCTCCAAGAGTGGTAAGTGGTTTATGGTGTATTTCTGTATTTTTTTATTTTGTCAATAACTAAAAATATTAGGGCTCGTTTTGTTCTTTGTTTTTATTTTAGTTTTTAATTATAATATTATAATTATAATTGCATAAATGCTGCCTGTTTGCTTTCATTCTGTGTTCTATTTCCAAAATTTCCTTGGTTTTACAATTTACTTATCAGAAATTTAAAAATAGAATGTGAAGGTGACATTCTTATGATTATAATGAAAAGATATAAACTGAAAATTAAAAATTGAAAAAAAAAAAAAAACCTTCCTTTCAAGATAAGGGTTTTTTCAGACTTTAGAGGGGTCTATTTCACGTTTGCTTAGTTGATTTGAGTTTTTCATTTTATTGTGTGCATGTAGTATTTGTTATCTTCAACTATTACTGTGTCTTCGACTCATTTTATTTTATCTGCGGACTAGCTGATGTTAACTTTAAATATGGAATGCAGTGTCATAAATGATGGAAAATACATCAATAATGAATATAATGATGTGTATCTGGTAACAACTCTTGATCCAATACCTCTGGAAGCCTTTACACTTCAGGTGAGGATGTATAAGATATATTCAAATTGGACTTACTGGAGCTCTTTCAGAAACATAATACACCATGTTTGTTCAATTATGGAGCTATCGTTTATGGTTTTTCTTTATTCAGCAAATTTAGCTTGTTCTGGAAGTGCTAGATTTCAGTATGAAGGTCTGGCATTTGTGATCGTTGTATAGTATTTTATGATTCACTTATAATTTCAAGTTTATGCTTAGTAATTAATGATTTGAGCCTTGTTTTTAAATTTAAATTTTGAAAACTTGATTTCGTTTTTATTATTTCTCCTTGATACCTATTCTAGTTCTACATGAATTTATGCTTTTTTAATTTTGTTTCAACAAGCATATTTGGGGTAATCTATAAATTAAACTTTTGCATTTATAAGCTTATATTTAGACATATGTGTATTAAATGTGACACTATTTCTTCTTTCGCATGGGAATTACTTTTAAATATCTGGTGGAAGGAATGCTAGACCTAGGAGGAGCAAATTCCATGATTTTTCTAATCTAAAAAACAATATTTATTAACATCAGTAACATCAATGTCTAATATCATTTGTTTCAGCTGAACAATCTTCACACGATAAGAAGAATTATGCAGTTTGCAATAGATCATTCATAGTTATGTTTCACTTTGATTTATGTTTTTTTATCTGCTATATTCATTGAATTCCTTTAGATGCATTATTGTCATTATAATTCTCAGGGTATTAGTCTATAAGGCAATAATGAGTTGAAAGTAATGTAATATCTCTCTCTCTTCCCCAATGTTGCATGGATACGGGTACAGTACTGGTACCGGGTACACAGCATTTTTAAAAAAACTAAGATACGGGTACGTCGATTAAAAAAATATAAAAAATTATATATAAAATAAAAGCACACAAATTTTAATATATCATATATTATATAATATAAAAGAGGCATATATTTGTCCACAAAGATAATAAAACATTTTACAATACTAGATGCCGCCACTGCCGCTGGATGCCGAATGCTGGACACCGCTCTGCCGTTGCCGCTGGACACTATTGCTGCCGCTGGATGCTGCTGCTGCTATTGGACGCTGAACAACGCTGCTGCTGCAAGTTGAGGGTGATGGAGGTGGTTGGCTGGTTGCTAAGGTTGGAACTTGGAAGATTGATGGAGTTTTGTGGAGTTTCGATGCTGAGCAGAACTTGGGAAGTACAGGTTGGGGGCTGAAATTTGGAGGATGAACTGGGAAATGTTGGGAGAAAACGGGTCAAAATTTTGGCCTAAAATAAAACCTAATTGAACTGATATTTTTTTAAAATTTCTCAATTCTCCGTGCCCATTATCACACCCGACGTACCCAAAGACGTACCCCTTTTTTTTAATTTGTAAAATCTTTTGGGTACGTACTGGGTACTTACCCAGGCATACCAGCTGTGTACCCGTCCCGGTACCGGTACTTGAACGGAAATTAAGTACCCGTGCTTCAGAGCTCTTCCCATAAGTGATTCTATACAAATGATTGTTATTTGATGTGCTACTATAATTCCAAGCCTCTCCTTTACGCATTTCCTGATCTTTTATGAGGTGATCTTCATTCGTTGGCAGGAAACAGAGGTTTCTGCTGTTAAATATATCTCTTATGAAGGGTATAAAAGGTTACTAGCCAAAGAAGATTCAGACTATGTCCCTTACGATGTTAATGGACAATATGGTCAACTCTTTGATATAATCGAAAAGAGGTATGTGTTTTGAATGATGAAAAGCTTCTTAATTTTTATACGTGAAGTGAAACCTCTTTCATTATACAATCACTCTTGTAAAAATTATCATTATTCTGGTTTAGTTCCCATCATAAAACTTCACTCTTGGTAACACCATGTCTTTCTATTTTCTCCTATTAAAAAAAAAAAATTCAATAGAAAAGAAATGAAGTACAGCTAGAAATAAGAAAACATATCCTTTAAAACAGAATACAAGGAAAAGGAAAGAATTGAGAGTGCAACACTCCAATGCTATCTTTGGTGACAATTCTACTTGCTTTGTAGCTACCATAACAATTTAAAGTTTGAGATATTAATTGGGCTATAGGTGCTTCCAAGCTCATGATTGCTACTAGAACATAATTTTTTTCCCTTATCTTCTTGGAGTCGGGATTTTTCTTGTCTGCTTGGGTGTCTTTGGTCGCTTGGATTTTCCCTTTCTTTGCATGGGGATGATAGATTGCCAAGCTGTTTTGCTTAATTGATCGGGGTGGATGCTTCGTCCTGGTGCCTCAATTGGTTGTTTGAGGAGGCAGATTGTTGGCTCATAAGCATGCACAAATTCCAACACAGCTAATGTCCATATATATATATATATAGATAGATAGATAGATAAGCAAGATTAAGTTATTCTATTAGTAACTTTGACAATAGTTATTTTGTTTAACAACTCTTTATACATATTGAATTTTGTCAATCCAACTGTTGAATTTAAAAAGTCATATAACTCGAAAACTAATTAACAATTCACCGGACCAATTTATATTATGTCTAATATACATTTTTAAAATATAAGTAAATGTTGATTATGAAATTATATAGCTATGAACATCTAGTTTATCTAAAACTTGATATACATAATTAAAATGAACATATAATCTTATTTATAGGTTGACTTGACAGAATTCAATATTTATAAAAGTTATTAAGTTGAGTAACTTTTGTCAAAGTTACTTTACTCTTGGAGCTTCATCTTTGCATATATATATATATATGTGTGTGTGTGTGTGTGTGTGTGTGTGTGTGTATAGTAAAATGAGTCTTTATTATACAAGAGTGAAAAATAAATTTAGACTGTATAATTATACATGGATGATTAAGATTAAAAGATTTAAGAAGTCACATGATCACTTAAAGAAAGTCATATGACTTTTTAAAAATCTTAAATGATTTGTATGTTTTAATCCTCGCCATTCATAATGAGATCTAATGATTAAAATTTGTTTCTCCACTCTCACATAAAAATGGTCCTCTTATTTGATATGTCGCCTATATATATATATATATATATATATATACACGTGTGTGTGAATGTATATATGTATAAAAGAGACAAAAAGAAACTCAACTGAAGTTAAATATAAGCAACATAATAGAAAATCCAAATGGGTAATCAATAATCATATGTTCTTGTATGAATGCCTTCTTTCTATGACAAGGAGTGGAAAAAAGTGCTAAGAGACATTATTTTTAATATTTAGAATATATTTAAGGTGACTTATGTATATAGTTCATAAAATGTCCATTCATATTTAAGGTGTTGACTCAAGAATTCAAGTTATATGAAATTTTTGGTTCAAGTATTTGAGTTGACAACAAATACTTGTTTAATTGGACCCTAAGTGAGAAGTGTTTGACATGTGTTGTTGAAGTATTGGTGTTGGAAACACATCTTACACTCCGGCACCTCATGCAATGGGAGTGTCTGTGCTTTATAGCTTAGAAGTTGGCTTAGTAGGGTGTGTCAATGTTGTTTTTGGCAAGTTGAAGAGTAACCATTACAAATATAGACATTTCTCTCCTACTATACCAAGAAACAGCGGTACATGTGTTTACACTAAATTCTAACATTGATTATATGTTCATTTTGGTATTCTTTCATTTACATATTTGTTGAAGGTACAAGGAAAATACTGTAGCACGCAGTTTGACTCTTCAGAAGCAAATAAGTCGTTACGCTCCCATTTCCCTCAGTGCAGAGGTTGTTGTAATTTTTATTTGTTTTGGTTGTTATATTGTACTGACCTATATCTATCTACTGTTTATCTTTTAATTCTATTTGCCCCAGTACCTTTTGTCCATTTGGATAGCATAACGTTAAAGTATGTATTGTATTAGTATATTACAACCCTCTTTGAATACATCTCATTTCTGTCATATCACAATCCTCCTTGAGCTTGAATACAAATTAACCTTATTTTATGTCTGAAACTAAAGTGGTTTGTTTGACATAATGGGACCCTATGAATAAATGAAAAGAGTAGCTGTAATGTCTTTATATCAGTGTTCTTTGAGTGTTTTAGTTACATGTTTGGGGGTATTTCTGAGCTAATTCTGTCAGCTAGCATTTATCTGTCATTTCTGAGTTTTCAGCATATTCAAGATTGTTGATATGTAAATATAGTAATTAGGCATGATTGTTGATATGTAAATATAGTAATTAGGCATGATGTGTAATTATAGTAATTAGGTCAATGAAATAGCGTAATTACAGCAGGATATCAGGATTACCTTAATAATATGTAATTAATATAGATTCCCTTGTACATGTATAAATTCAGACCCTTGGGTCATATGCAATACACAGAAAACACATTAAGGTTTCAGACTTGATATGGTATCAAATTTAGGTTTCGATCTAACACCTCTTCCTCGATTGCTACAGTAACCGTGCTACAATACGGAGCCCTTTTCTGGCCCAGATCTCTGCCGCCGTTGACTTTTCCAGCCATCTAAGGCTGCGACCAGAACGGTCTTTTCGCCGGCGACCACCGTCCTGCGCATCAGTTTCACGCACCGCCATATTTTTGCCTGCGCATCTCTCTTTTTTTTTTTTTTTTTTGCGACCTCCCTGGTACGTTGTTATAGCCTTTTTCCTCTCTTCTCCTTCATCCCACAATGTCTACCTCTGACAGTGCTGCTGTGACCTTCATCACTGTGCCTTTGATACCTTGTGAGAAACTCCTCGGGGCTCCCAATTATTCCTCTTGGGCAGCAGCTGTTGAACTTTGGTTCCAAGGACAAGGCTGCTCTGACCATTTCACAACATAGGCTAAAGACATTGCTGCAGACAAACATGACCATTGGAAGCAAGTTGATGCCTCCCTTTGTAGTGTTCTCTGGTTCTCCATTGATACCAAACTGCAACAACAATACCGTCCATTTAAAACCTGCTATGAGATTTGGGATAAGGCCAAACGAGTTTATTCCAATCAAGTTCACTGTCTCTATACATTCATTGCCAACCTTATCTCTATCAAAAAACAGGACATGGATATGCAAACTTACTTAGGTAACCTTGACAGCTTAATGTCTGAATTTAATGCTCTTATGCCATTTACTAATGATGCAGAAAAACATGCCCAACAACGAAGCGAATTCTTCATGGTGCTTGCTTTTCACGGCCTTTCTCCAGAACTTGACTCTGTTCACAATCAGGTTCTTTCTAGCCCTACAGTGCCATCATTTGATTTTATCTCTGAGCAGTTACTACGCATGTCCACTCCTCAATCATTTGCAGCAACCCCACTTCTCACATCTCCTCTTGATTCCATTGCACTCTTGCTGAACTCCTTTCTTCCTGGCGGTCGTGGGAGGGGACGTGGTAACACCTATTCTCGTCTGCATCCTCGCTGTGCCTACTGCAAACGTTTTGGCCATCTTGAGGCTCAGTGTCACACCAAGGCCAGAGCCCAAAATCCTAGTGTGAATCTTGCTCACATGCCATCTCTAGCCCCTACCATATCCTCTCATATTCCTGTGCTTACATTAGAATACCAGGACTATCTCCGATACAAAGCCGCCATACAATCAGATTCACTTACCAACCCCCAATCCGCTCCACCAGTTGCCTCTGTAGCACAAGCAGGTACTCTTGTTACCTGCATTTCCCAGTCTCCATCCTTTGGTCTTTGGATTCTTGATTCTGGCGCCTCTGATCACATGTCTGGTAATGTTTCCCTTTTCTCACACCTCACTCATCTCGATTCTCTTCCTCCTGTCACTTTAGCTAATGGTTCTCAAACCAACTTCTCTGGCATTGGTAATACTAGGTCCCAGGTCTCTCCTTAGAGTCAATATTATTTGTTCCAAATTGCCCTTTCAATCTCATTTCCGTCAGTAAATTTACTCGGTCGTCCAATTATTCAGTTCTTTTCACTAATAATTCTGTTCTTGTGCAGGATTGGACTACCGAATAGACGATTGGAGTAGGATATGAATCTCGAGGATTGTATTATCTTACTGCATCGGCTCCGATTGCTTGTTCAACTATCGAATCCCCTGCTCTTTTTCATCAACGATTGGGTCATCTGAACCTTCAAAAACTGCAGATCATGGTTCCACACTTACCTAAAGCATCCACCATAGACTGCGAGTCCTATAAGTTAGCCAAACATATTCGAGCTACTTTTCCGAGTCGTGTCAATAACAGAGCTGTGTCTCCTTTTTATTTAGTCCATTCGGATATTTGGAGTCCGAGTCGTATTACTTCTACTTTAGGATATCAATATTTTGTCACTTTTATAGACGATTTTTCTCGTTGCACTTGGTTATTTCTACATAAAAATCGTTTCGATGTTTTCTCTACTTTTCGTTCTTTTGCTTCTGAAATACAAATCCAATTTAACAGTAAAATTAATATCTTACGAACTGACAATGCTTGCGAATACTTGTTACTGCTTTTCAATCTTTCTTGTCTGACCAGGGTATTCTGCATCAGTCTTCCTGTGCCCATACACCACAACAAAATGGTGTTGCTGAACGAAAAAATCGTCACTTAGTTGAAACAGTCCGCACTCTCCTCATCCACTACAAAGTACCACTCCGTTTCTAGGGAGATGCTGTCCTTACTGCTTGTTTTTTAATCAACCGCATGTCATCTTTTGTCCTCAACAATCAGGTACCTCATTCCATTTTGTTTCCTACACAACCTCTTTACTCTCTTCCTCCTCATGTTTTGGTGTACCTGCTTTGTCCATGACCTTTCTCCAGGACGTGACAAACTCACTGCCAAATCACTAAAATGTCTCTTCCTGGGATACTTTCGTCTTCGGAAAGATTATCGATGCTATTCTCCCGACCTTCGCCGTTACCTAGTCTCTGCTGATATCAGTTTCTTCGAAAGTTGTCCCTTCTTTTTCGCCTCTTCTGACACTACATCGCATGGGCATCTTGCGCTTCAAACATCACTTGTCCCTACATTTTCAGACCAAGGATCTCGGTCCTCTCAAATATTTTCTTGGTATTGAAGTTCCCCAATCCAGCCATGGAATTTCTCTCAATCAGCGCAAATACGCCCTTGATATTCTTACTGAAACTGGCATGCTTGACTGTCGTTCGACTGATTCCCCTATGGAGCCCAATATCAAGCTCCTTCCGGCTCAGGGGGAGCCTTTGAAAGACCCAGAAAGGTATCGACGCTTGGTTGGTAAACTCAACTATCTCACCATCATAAGACCAGACATCACCTTTGCCGTTAGTGTAGTCAGTCAGTTCTTAAACGCTCCCTATACCAGCCATTGGGATGCTGTTGTTCGCATTCTCAGGTACATCAAACATGCACCAGGCAAAGGGCTACTTTATCTGAATAAGGGAAACTCTGCTATTGTTGGCTACGCTGATGCTGATTGGACTGGATCACCATCAGATAGACGGTCTACTTTGGGATACTGTATTTTTATTGGGGGGAACTTAATTTCATGGAAAAGCAAGAAGCAGCACATTGTTGCTAGATCCAGCGCAGAAGCAGAATATCGTGTTATGGCTGTGACCACATGTGAACTTACCTGGCTAAAACAATTACTCCTACGACTTAAAGTAGGAGAGGTCGATAAGATGAAGTTAATTTGTGACAATCAGGCAGCACTACACATAGCATCTAATCCGGTTTTTCATGAACGAACCAAGCACATAGAAATTGATTGCCATTTTATTAAAGAATCGAGACAAGCTTTGTTGGCTCTAATGATCAGTTGGCAGACTTGTTTACAAAATCTTTAAGGGGGCCTCGAGTGGAATATATTTGTAACAAGCTTGGTGCATATGATTTGTATGCCCCAGCTTGAGGGGGAGTGTTGATATGTAAATATAGTAATTAAGCATGATTGTTGATATGTAAATATAGTAATTAGGCATGATGTGTAATTATAATAATTAGGTCAATAAAATAGCGTAATTACAGCAGGATATCAGGATTACTTTTATTAAGGTAATAATATGCAATTAATATAGATTCCCTTGTACATGTATAAATTTAGACCCTTGGGTCATATGCAATACACAGAAAACACATTAAGGTTTCAGACTTGATAAAGATAAAACTTGAATTTGTTCTCACCAAAAATAACATTGAAATATGAGAGTCAGCCAAATGTTGATTCAACCTGGTACTTAATCTTAGAGCTGAATAAAAAAGTCTTTATAATTCCAGAATTCTAGTATATTGGAACTATATGGTATTTGGTTCAGATTCTATGATTCCATTTGTTTGATGTTGGACATTGCACACCTTTCCATTGTTTTTCTAATTGTTTTGCATGGTCTAGAGATGGTATCCCTTTCAGACTTATCTTTCTTGAACTATTTACAAAATATATAATTTTGATTGGATTCTGTTATCTCTTGGCAACATTATGTTGATCCTGAATGATATTGGGAACGCTGCATCGCATTGTGTACTGAAAGCCCCATATCAAAGCATTAGCAGTAAATAGGTATAGAATAAAATATTTTATTGATTTATAGGCTAAAGGAAATTATAATATATTCACATTATGCACGTGATTGTCATGAGATGAATGATACTAGCAATTAATTCTCTGGAGTTTTTACATCAGTGAGATTAACTATGAAAGTTTTGGATGAATTTTTGTTGCAAATAAATTAATTAGAAGTGTCTTTTATGAGTGTTGAAGGTTATGATATATTATGATTGTGAGTTTATCAATCCTGGGACTATTAATAAGATGTTTATCCAAAAATTTGAGGTCCCCCTTCAACATTAAAAATAAATTTAATTTTTCATTCTGTCAGTTGACAGGGCTTACCGATTCAGACAAAGAGGCTCTAGGTTTTGTTGTCAAGGCTGCAACTGTTATGGACGAAATTTTTCATCTGCAGGTTGTTTACAATCCGTTTATGGCTTTATTTGTAATTTGTATGCATTTGTTTATGGACCTTGTCTGTATTTATTTTATGTTATATGTTCACTATGCATGTTCATATGAAGTATAAAAAATTCAATAGTAATTTCACTTTTAAACTTTTATCCAAGCAAATAATTTTTCATATGCATGTATTATGTGCCATGTAGCATGCTTGATAAGCTCCAAAAATATATTCTCATTTTTTAATTGTGATTTGTAGAGTAGAACCAAGACAATGGATATGTTCAAATGATAGTGTCCATTACTAAGTTTGTTTATTTATTTCCCTATCAGTCATGGTACAGTAATCCAGCTCTTAGAGATTGGTTGAAAGGGCATGCTGATACATCAGAGTTGAACAAGTTGAAATGGTCATATTATCAGATTAACAAGAGCCCATGGTAAGTATTTTCTTGACTATCTAATCTACCGGTTGAATGGTGTGTATAATAGATAGATAGGCAGGTTTAGGTAAATTTTTATGCCAGAAAATCATCCTGGACTTGAGACAAAAAAAATCCTATAATTTGGCTCATTTGCCCACTTTAGCATTTAGATTCCCACCAAAATCTGTTTTCTTAATCCATAGGATCCTTTAACAATCGTAGACCTGTTTTGACAATTGAAATTGCCAAGACCAAATGCTAGATGGTGTTCTTGACAGATATATGAACATCTGTCTGCCTTGAATAATGTAAATTGTTAGTTTTAAGAATATACAAGTAGAACTTACTTATTTTAAAGTGTCCCTTTTGTGTCCATGTACGTTGTTGTGTAATTATAATCTATTCATTGTTGGCAGGTCTTGCCTTGATGAAGATGAGGCATTTTTGACAACTGCAGATTCAGCAATAAGATTGCTTTCTAAAGCAACGAGGACAGTTAGAGATTGGAAAGGTTTGGAATACAGAGCAGCATTTCCCATGCTGAAACCAGATGGTGCTAATTTCTACCCGCCAGACATGGACAAAATGGTATCATCATGCTAAACATCTGTTGTCTAAACAACTGTGTTAGAGCATTTGTTAATTGTTACTTTAATTTCCTTATTTTCATTTTTATTTGTATAGATTTATTTCCCTGTAATTAGTTTACTTTTGTTTCTTGTAATTATGATTGCAAGATTATTTCCTACAAATACCAGGTCAGAATTAATTAGTCACCTGATATATATTCGTCATCTCTCTGTATACAAAGTTTAAGTGAAAAAATATATGTTCAGTTTACCTCATATTTCAAGAAATTGGTTGGAAAAATTGAAAATTGATAAATATTTTCTTTTGCAGGAGTTTGAATTATGGAAGGACAGTCTAGGAAAGGATCAACAGAAAGAGGCAACTGGATTTTTCAATGTTATTAAAAGGCACAGTGAATTTATTTTAGATTCTAATCAGTCCGATAACAAAGCAGGTTCTCATGATCTATATATAGTTCCTTACTCTGAAGAGTACAAGTCTCTTCTTGCAAAAGCTGCTGATTTATTGCATAAAGCTGGGGACATTACCAACTCACCAAGGTATGTTTTTTTTCAATCTACATTCATTATTAAGCAGTCACTGTTCCACTTCATGCTGAATACTACTTACAAATGGTGGTTAACTCATTCTTTCCTATTGTAGTTTGAAGAGGCTGCTACATAGCAAGGCTGATGCTTTCCTTTCAAATGATTATTATGACTCCGATATAGCCTGGTTGGAATTGGTTAGTCATTTTCTGTAGTTTACTATTTGCTACAGTAGTTATAAAGTTGTAGGCAAGTTGGTAAGATGCTCTGTGAATGCTGAATAATTTCTAGTTACTATCAAAAGAGCTCCATTATTTAAATATTCTATATAAAAAATTTTATGTAGTTGTATTGTTAGCTTTACTAATGTAAATGAGAGAGTTTATTCAATCACTGCTAATTCTTATCAGGATTTCATTTCATTGTGTGATGTGTACCTATTCTTCTAGTCATACACATAGACATGGACAAGCTATGCTACTTTCATGATACTTGGTCCTCTTTTCTTCCATATTCATTTCCCTCCTCTCTTGTATAACATTTTGTTAGTAAGTTAAATTTATTTCTTTCGTAAAACAAAAGAAAATAGCAAATATCATGATTGTTTCTCAACAACTTCTAATTGACTATATTCACAGATTTATTTAAGTCAAGGTTATCATTTTTATTTTTAATGTGCTAAAAGTATTATTAATGTTATATTGTTTTAACTCATTGCCAAATTGTTTTTAATAGGTGTGGGGGACGTCTTTTTTTCCTCCCACAAATCAGCAAGTAACAAATCTAATCCTTGGGAATTTTCTGCTGCTGAAGAAAATGTTGAGAAAATATCACTTAGGGATCATCTGAATCTATATATGACAATAATTCGTTTAATCTGGAAAAAAAGGAGTAATAGTAAAAAAATACCAAGGAACTTAGGCCTCTACTTATTAAATGGTCATTGCCCTAACATGTGATGAATCCCTTGCTTTATGCATATGTTTGTATATTTTAACACCCATCCACCTACACACCAACCCAAATGCTTTTACAGGAAAGAACCTCTATGTTGCTTCCCATTGATAGTTGATGGGACTATGAATCTGGTCATACAAATCACTAAACGGTCCTGCACATTCAATTTAGGAAACCCTTATCAGTTGAAAATTATGCTTTCTTGGATAGGCTTTTATTACCAGTAAGCAATATTGGGGAAAAAATAGGCTTTCTCTAATTTTAGCTTACTAGTATCCTTACCGTTATGTTTTTATTATAATAACAACAAAGCCTTAGCACACTTGTATCCTTTCTGTACTGTGATTTGTTGTGAAAATTTTTGGATCATAAAATTATTTTTTCCTTCTATTTTCTGTGCAGGACTCGAAGTTGGATGTTACAATTGGGCCATATGAAACTTATGAGGATAAACTTTTTGGATACAAGGTAATTCTCAACATTGAGGCTTTCTGCAGCTTATACAATTAAAGTCCTATGAAGGCTATGATTATTTTAAACTTAAATGTTCTTTTTATATTGGAAAAGTTAATGCATCTCAAAATTGTAGCGTATTACTATTGAATTAAGTTGTGTCATTACCAGCTAATTTATTAAAATATTGACAACCACAACAACAACAATTAAGCCTTATCCTACTAGGTGTGGTTGGCCACATAGATTACACAATGTCATTGAGTTTGGTCAAAAACCAAATTTTCTAAAATATTATTGACCATAATATCCCTTTTAATAATTTTCCCTAAAGTTCTTCTTGATCTCCCTCTACTTCTTTACTATGGATTAAAAGTCATGCCATCTACTATCTTCATTGGTGTCTCCAATGGCTTTATTTGCACTATTTAAACTATCTTAATTGATTTTCTGTCATCTTTTTCTCAATAGGTGTTTTTCAGTTATCGAGCTTCTTTTTTCAATGTTTGCTTTTAACCATATATTTGGATATCTATAATCATGATTCTCATTGGTTGAGCCTACATCATGGGATCTAATTTCTTCTTGTGACCTTTTCCTTTCCGATAAGCATTCATTCAAGAATGTACACCAGAGAACACACCAAAGCCAATAACTATGGGATTGAAAACTGATGCAATATATACTTACGCTCTTTATAAATAATAGGGAAAATCTGGCTCTGATTATAAATTGATTTTGAAACTGGTTTAAAACCAGTTTGATCAAAACTAAACCAGTTTTAGGAAAAGTAAATGGTTTGACATAACCAGTTTATAATTGGATTTGGTTTGGTTTTACACCAAACCAATCCATGCACACCCGTTACTTCAATCTTAGATCTGGTGATCTGTGTCAAGGCTTAGGTGTGTAAATTTGCTATGGAAGTGTATAGCAACTTTGTCCAGCCAGAGCTTAATGGACCAAGTTATGGTGCAATGAAGGTTAATGTATATCTTTGAATGCCATGTTCTGGGTTGAATTTCTAAACTCTTTTACACTATTATGAATAAACAAATATAAATTATCCCAATAATGTAAATTCAGTGATAACTTGCTGGCATTATCTCAGTTGAAAAGACCACTATCTTTGAGCTTATGAATCAGTAATTTCTTTGCAATTCTTTTAGGCTACCTTTGAAGCATATATTGGAATCAGGGACGATGAAGCAACAGCTCAACTGAAACTCTTTGGTGATAATCTACAGGTACTATGCTTCAAGCAATTTAATGTGTGAATAAGATCTGTAGTTTCTATTTTGTCTAAATTAAGTGCAACTGACGTCTCAAATAATTCTGTCTTAAGCTTCTGGAGGAAAATCTCCCAATGGACAGTGCATACAAATCAAAAGATGTGAATGCAGCTCCTATCCGTGTGATACAGCTTCTATATAATGCAGGGGTGAGTGTTAGGAATATTTGACTATTGAGTGTGAGTGTGTGTTTCTGTCTGTGTATAATTAAAGTAAGGAAAGATGCTTCTGAGTTCTGACAATAATTATCCAGTTTCTGTCAATTTTGAACTAACCTGCTGTTGAAAATACTGGTATAAAGCATGATTTAAATGGCAAGACCATTGGCTGCAGAGGAATGCTTTTGAAAATAAATAGAAACCTAATGACCAAAAAATGATGATTCTGTACCAATAATATTGTCCATGACATCTGGCTTAAGCAGTTATTGTGGTGGACGCAAAATTTCCCTATGTCCTTTCTAATAAAATTCACAAGGGGTTCTCTGTTGTAAATTTGCAATTCTGTATTTTGCTTAACTATGAAACTGGAAATTTTACATCTATGAATTATTTTAGGATGTCAAGGGACCACAGACTCTTGCTTTCAATCTGCCAAATGATGAGCGTATTGTAAAAGAGCAGGGATCATCAATGGTCATGCTTAAGAATGTTTCAGAGGCTAAGTAAAGTTTGACCCTAAAATATCTAGTTTGTTCAAGTTACAACTTACAACTTGTAAATGGGTCTCTTTTTGTTGCATATTTTCTAAATTGATATTTTATGTTGGGGAAACTTGCCAATTCTAAACAGGTTCAAGCATATTCTTCTTCCTATAGCAGCTGCCTGCATTGCAAAGGAGCAACAAGAACATGTAGATTTTGAATCATTCTTTACGCATACAATTTGCCATGAATGCTGCCATGGAATTGGACCACATACCATAACACTTCCTAGTGGTCGGAAGTCTACTGTCAGATTGGTCAGTTACACAATTTACCTCAATTGAGCAATTTATTTGATTGTTAAAACTCTGGTAGTAAGCTCACTAACTTAGTGATGATGTTAATATGAGCCACTAAATTCATTGTTGTATTTTATTATTATTGTTAAAAAGTTACTTAATGAGATATTCCGTGGACATAATGCAGTAGTATATCTTATCATATATTATCCTATAGGATTAGTTTCATTACTTTCCATTATCTCTTGGGATTGGTTATCATTTATGAAGCTTGGATGCCTCTCCTATTTCTCCTATTCAAAGTGCCGTGGTATGGAACATGTTTGTGACACTGACATGTGTTGGACACTTTTCATTTGGTGTTCAATTAGTTTTCTTTTTTGTTGGCTTAGACACTCGAAGTTGAGGAACACATTAATATTATTAATTTTGTTTTAGCTTTTAGAAAAGTAAAACAGAGAATATAATGCCTCAGTTTTTTATAATTTTTTTTTTTTTAAGAAGCTTATTATCATAGTAAAAATGTTTAACTTAGAAGTTGGTTTGAGAAGGTGAATACTCTTATCTTGAAAGATATGGTTTCATCTTATTTTAGGAGTTAGTTTTGAAAGCGATCAAATGCCACATTACATTGTAAAATGATGCCTCTTAATTTTCTTTTGTGAGGTTCAATATCATAGGAAAAAGTTGAGTATACACGAGAGTACAAAAATTATTTTTGATTTAGATCTTTTGTTCATGTTTCATTTCATTTGAGTCTTTCTGTCTCTTTCTATCACTCTTCCCTACAAAGTGTCATATTTTGGACATGAGCTACTTTAGTGTTCATGTCCTTGTAGTGTACATATCTGTGTCAGAGTTCGTGCTTTGTAGGTTATTTTTGGGAGGCTTATTATAAGTATAAATAAGGTTTAGTGCCCTAGGTTTATATACAAATTTATACACATATAATACATTTCATTATGTAGGAATAATACTGATCTATCCTAGCCTTTCTAATTTATGGCTTTTGAAGTCATTTTTCACTAAACCTCCTATGTTCACAGACTTCAACAAAAAATATTTGCTACGTGTAAAAACTAATACCCAATCAGAATCACTCAGGACTCTTCATATACATGTTACCTTTTGCTTTTTAGGGCACTATTGTTCTTACTATTTGGTACATTATTAACTGCATGCTCTCCTATGTCGTTGATAACCAAGTGCCTCACTCATGTTATTTCCTTAAGAGCCTCTGCATTCCTTGGGTTTGCTACTTTCCCTATTTTGTCCACAATCTCACACCAGATCTCGATATGCTTTTGGTTTAGTCTAAGTGTGTATTTCTTGGTTATATCAGCCTTAAAAGGTTATGATTGTTTCTTCTTAAATATTTGATGTTATATCGCACCTTCCTATCTGTTGATGTCAACTCTTGTGCATTCAGTAATTTGTTGGATGGCATCAATCAAATAATGAGAAGCATCTTAAGCTTAGAAAATTACTATTGTGTGTATACTTCCTTGCTTCAGTCTATTTGTGTATAATATTACCTGCAATATCTTACCTTTTGATACAGGAATTACAAGAATTTTACTCAGCTCTGGAAGAAGCAAAAGCCGATATAGTTGGCCTTTGGGCGTTGAGATTCTTAATATCCCAGGTAATTATTTACTTTTTTTTTTCTCTTGGGGAAGAAATATGAGTTTATTAAGGGAAAGGAATTGCAATGCAGGAGGGTTGGGAGTCCTCCTAGATTGGGGAAAGTCAATAAAAGGAACCTGAACAGAAAAGGAAAAACCATAAGCTCAACTATGGTCTCAATACGTTGGAGTTTCTAAGAAAACCCCTTAAAAATTTGCAAACACATAATAGTTTCTTAAAAGTCTTATTTGCACTCAAGGCAAATGAATTGTAGACAAACACTGCAGAATTCCATTATACTTTTCACTTAACTATAGTAAACATCTAGTAGGGACTTGAGAGGACAAACACTATTTTTGACAATTGAACCACATGAGAACAAATTACCATATTTTGTTAACTTCAAATATTAACTATGCTTTACATATGACTTGTTCTGCTCTATGCTTTTGAAGTGTCTTCAACTCTTAATCACTTGCTAACTGAGTAGTTTCTGTGTTATGTTTTATGTTTGACTTACATTTTCTAGACTACTGTTTGAGGCTTACAATTGATGCTAATGTCATTTATTGTCTCTGTGATTTTACCAGGACTTGCTTTCCGAAAGTTTATTGAAGTCCATGTATGTTTCTTTTCTTGCTGGATGCTTCCGGTCAGTACGTTTTGGTTTAGAGGAAGCTCATGGGTGCGCTGCCTAGCTATGCATTCTTCTTTCATCTGGTGTTTATTGTTATGATATGATTTGGCATCTAAATCTACTGCATATTGTCAGTAAAGGACAAGCATTGCAGTTCAACTGGTTATATGAGAAAGGAGCCTTTGTATTGCATACTGAAGACACAGTTTCTGTTGATTTTTCCAAGGTATTATTGCTTCAAGACACACTATCTTGGTCCCTCCATCTTGAGTTTGCTTGACCCTAAGATGGGTACTATTAATTATATTTCTCTTCCACAAGATTGAAGGAGCAGTTGAAAGCCTAAGCCGGGAGATCCTTACCATACAAGCCAAAGGCGATAAAGAGGCCGCTGGTTTTCTTCTTCAGAAATACTGTGTGATGACAGAACCACTGAAAGTTGCTCTAAAAAAGTTGGAGAATATTCAGGTATAAATCTTTAGACCACAGAATTCTGTTAACTTTTGTTGCGATAAGATGATGACTACATTGTAGTGCCTAATGAAGTGCTTGTTCTTCACACACTTCTATGGCTTTGCAAGTCATTTTTCTTGCATAGGCTTTTTGGAGTGCCTAATGAACCACTGTTAACTTTTTGGAGCAGTCCTAATACTGTTCATAGGCTTACATTACATGTGTGCAACTTTGCAACTCACTTCCCTTAGGATAAATGATAGAGCCTAATTCCAGATTGGTCCTATTGAGCCATTGGCCCATGAAACAAAGTCATTCCCTAAGAAATTGTTAGTGTACTCACAGAAGAAAAGAGAAGGAGCTGACGTGGCATGAGAGAAGGGGGTGCGGGCAGTTAGAGGAGAGAGAGAGAGTGGGATATCCATATCTTTCTATTATTTAGGGAAGGATGTGAGGTTGTGGAGGGTGTGCTGTTTTTCTGATATCTTGGGTAGAGGAAACTTAGTGGTTTCTCTATTAGGAGCATTGCCCTGGACAGTAAGGAGTCATCCTTCTTGCTGTATTTCTTCTTTTGTCATTAATTAAGGATCAAAGTCTATTTTCTTCTTCAATTCTCTGTTTCACTTTTATATTTGTTGCTTGGGAACGTATTATATGGTTCGACCTGCCGGATTCATTGGATCATTGAATGCCAACAAAGAAAAAAAGAGGACAAGCAAAACCAGCGGAAGAAATGGAAGCGAGGTTGGGAAAGGTAGAAGGAGAATTGGATAAAATCAGAAACACGATGGAAACCATACAACTTCAAGCAACACAAAGCCAGTCAATCATTGATGCTATGCGGAAGGAAGCAGTTGAAAACCAGGCAAAACTTGTCAAAACCTTGAGAAGGGAGGCAGCGGAGAATCAAACGAGACTGGTGGAATTAATGACAAAAACTTTGAGTAAACGCACTAATGTGGAAGGGGAAAACTCCATGGGAGGAAGGAAGTCTGCAAATTCGAAGGGAAACGTTTATTGGGGCATGTCAGGATCAGGCCTGAAATCTTTGGAAGGTGAAGCTCTGCATGAATTTCGTCAATCCGTTAAGAAAATTGAGTTACCCTTGTTCTACGGGGAGGATCTGTCAGGATGGATTACTCGAGCAGAAATTTACTTCAGAGTACAGGAGACCAACGAGGAGGTAAAGTTGAACTTGGCTCAGATTTGTATAGAGGATGGAACACTCCATTTCTTCAATGCGCTGTTAAATGATTATGAAGATCTCGCATGGAAAATTTTGAAGGAGTTGCTCCAGCGCTGCAGTGGATTGGGTGAAAGGAGTATGTTTGAGCAACTCACCTTTTTACAAAAAACAGAGGGTGTAGAGGAGTATATCGAGCAATTCGAGTGTTTAGTGGCTCAGGTTCTGAGAATGGAAGATGAACAATATTTCGCCTTCTTCATTCATGAGTTACAGGAAGAAATTCGCTCACGATTGAGGAGTCTTCATACCGCAAATCCATTGAGTAGAGGAAGAATGATGAATACTGCGCAAGTTGTGGAAGTGGAACTATCATCGCGAAGGTCTATTTGGCAGGGAAGACGAGACATGCGTACAGGGGGATCATCAAATATGGGTCTCAAAACCCATTTGAATGTGATGGGTCGAACTGGGTCACGAATTTATGGTTCAGGGGTGGAATGAATGGGCCTGGCCCAAATGCTAAGGATGAGGATGGTGAAATAGCAATAAAACATGGAAGATAGCAAAGTTCATCAAGGACTACGGTAAAATAGCAAAGTCCCTCACTGAACTCACTAAGAAGAATGGATTTGGGTGGAATGATAAGGCGCAAATGGCCTTTGAGGAGCTTAAGAGAAGAATTACAACTGCATTAGTGCTAACTCTACCTAACTTTGAGGTAGATTTTGAATTGGAGTGTGATGCCTTAGGTATGGGAATTGGAGTAATCCTAATGTAGAACCGCAAACCAGTAGCATTCTTTAGCAAGGCCCTGGGTAGTCAAAACTTAGCCAAATCTGCGTATGAGAAAGAGTTAATGGCAGTAACTTTAGCAATAAAACATTCCCTATCTGGGAGAAGGTTTAAGGTATATTCATATCAAAAGAGTTTGAAACAATTGCTGCAACAAAGGGTTACGTTAGGGAGTCAACAAAATTGGCTTGCAAAATTGCTTGGGTATGATTTTGAGATAGTATACAAACCTGGTTTGAAGAATAAAGGGACGGATGCACCATCAAGAATTATAGGAGAAACAGAATTCAGGGCATTAATGTACATACCTGTGTGGTTAGATTGACAAGAGGCCATAGCCGAAGTACATGCTGAAGACAAATGGAAGAAGATCATTGAAGCTCTGCAGCAAGGAAAAGAGGTAACTCCAGGGTTTACCTACAAACAAGGTATCCTGTTTTGTAAGGATAGAGTAGTAATTTCAGAGAAATCTTCTTGGATCTCCAAATTGTTAGAAGAGTTCCATGCGACCCCATAAAGGGGGCACTCTGGATTTTAATGTACTTATAGAAGGTTAGCTGCAAACTTGTATTGGAAGGGTATGAAGAATGACACCTTGGAGTTTGTGCTAACTTTTGATACATGTCAACAGCAGAAGTATATGACTACTGCTCCGGGGGGGACTCTTACAACCTCTCCCTCTTCCAGAAAAGGTATGGGAGGACATTAGCTTGGATTTTATAACCCAGGTCAAACGGATTTGAAGCTGTCTTGGTTGTAGTGGACAGACTGACTGAATATAGTCACTTTATTCCTCTCAAACACCCTTACACTGTGCGAACCATTGCTGAGTTATTTGTGAAGGAAGTGGTAAGGCTACATGGGATTCCAAATTCGGTGGTTAGTGATCGAGATCCCCTGTTTATGAGTTTTTTTTGAAAGAAGTTCTTCAAGAGGCAGGGAACGTCGCTGAAAATGAGTACAGCTTACCATCCCCAAACGGATGGCCAAACTGAAGTCACAAATCATTGCTTGGAGACCTACTTAAGGTGTTTTATTACCGACTAGCCTAAAGGGTGGGTTATGTGGCTTTCATGTGTAGAATATTGGTTCAATACTAATTTTCATTCGTCAATCGAAACTACCCCATTTGAGGCAGTCTACGGACAAAAACCTCCTGTGATGGTGAGATGTGTTCAAGGAGAAATCAGGGTGGAAGCAGTGCAAAGGGAGCTCTTAGACCGTGATGAAGCATTGAGGAAACTTAAAAATCATCTAGTAAGAGCTTAGGAGAGGATGAGTTCCAAGCTGACAAGCATAGACAGGGGAGAAGCTTTGAAAAAGGGGACATGGTATTCTTGAAGTTAAAACTGCATAGACAACATTCTGTTGAGGCAAGAATCAGTCCAAAATTGAGTGCTAGGTACTATGGACCTTTTGAAGTCTTAGAAAGGATTGGAGAAGTTGCATATCGCTTGAAGCTGCCCCCGTATAGAAGAGTACACCTGATATTTCATGTCTCTTTGCTCAAAAAAGCAATAGGGAATTACAAGGCTGAACCCAAATTACCAACTGGCTTGGAGGATGATAGAGCAGAAATAAATGAACCCGAAGCAATACTTGCTACACAAAACATACACAAAAGGGAGAACAAGGTTCAGTGGCTGGTACTTTGGAAAGGAAAGACTAGAGAGGAGGCTACATGGGAAGATGCCTTAACAATTAGAAGCCAATTTCTTGAAGTATGTCTTGAGGACAAGACAGCTATTGAAGAGGTGGGGGGCAATGATAGAGCCCAATTCCAGATTGGTCCTATTGAGCCATTGGCCCATGAAACAAAGCCATTTCCTAAGAAATTGTTAGTGTACTCACGAAAGAAAAGAGGAGGAGCTGACGTGGCATGAGAGAAAGGGGTGCGGGCAATTAGAGGAGAGAGAGAGTGGGATATCCATATCTTTCTGTTATTTAGGGGAGGATGTGAGATTGTGGAGGGTGTGCTGTTTTTCTGATATCTTGGGTAGAGGAAACTTAGTCGTTTCTCTATTAGGAGCATTGCTCTGGGCAGTAAGGAGTCATCCTTCTTGCTGTATTTCTTCTTTTGTCATTAATTAAGGATTAAAGTCTATTTTCTTCTTCAATTCTCTGTTTCACTTTTATATTTGTTGCTTGGGAACATATTAATAAATTTCACGTTTATAAATTCTCCTACATTATTCTCGTAAGACATTATTCTTTCACATGACCTGCGAGTTTGAAATATCACAAGTCTAATTCTGTGTATATTGTATTTTCTAACCTAGGTACCTGTTGATGTAACTCCTACCTTTCCCATTGCCTACAAAATATTGCAATGAAGGCATGAGAACCAAGGTGCAAAAATTTCGTTGCTTGCCGTCGTCTTTGCATCAGCCAGGAAAATTTTATCCAAACAATCTTTGCGCTAGTTGTTTACAATGAAATAAGGGAATACTTATTTCTGTTTAGCCTTGATTGATTCAAATTGAAAACAATCTGTCATAGAGGGGAGTTTTAAACGTTGTCTTAAATTATAATGTTACTATGCTATTGATGAGTGGCTCAACTGGCGGCATGAGGTTTTTTTATTTCATTCTTGTTGATGCTCCTTTGTTGGTAGGACGTGAGAAAGTGTAATATTCTCGTCCTTAACAAGGGTTCATATTTTGATCTTGAGATAGAGCGACATCTTACCTACACTTGTTTCATCAAAAAAGGAAATTGTGTAAAACAATAAAAAAACTATAATTAATTATCTTTATCTAATAAAAACATTCTTTTCCAAATTCGATTTAGTTAATAAGTAAAAAGCATAGTTGAAATCTATACATAGATCTGTCAACAATCTGCACGGTTGAACATAAAATAAACTCAGTTCAAGCCTTTAAGTACTAACCTTATCTTTCTTCTTCACTTAATCGTTTTAACACTTATCACCCTTCTATTTTTTTCTTTCCTTAATTTTGTATGAAAATTTCTGGTGCATATGCACAAATAATAAGTCCTTATTAACCTGAGATTTTAGGCCGATGGTTATGAAAAGTGAGAGTTGCCTTTGTTAAAACAATAGAAGCCTGTTAGCATCCACCTTTGTATAGGAGATGTATCAAACTAAGGGGGTTATTAATTAAGATATGCACTTAATAAAATATGTCCTATTAATTACCAAGCAATAACATTAATATATCACACTTAAAATTTTCGAATACATAAATCACAATAAATACCAACATTGCTATTTACTACAGAGTCAGCAGCTAGCACTACACACGTAGCATCCATGCCAACCCCAGATAACAGAAAAACAGTCTACCACAATATATGATGATGGCAAACATATTCACCTGAAGTCTACCATCTATTAATATTCTACAATATTCTATGAATTATGATTACCACTTGCCAGAAATCATCCACTTCCCCAACCTATAGGAGTAGTATGCATCAACACAAGCATACTTCACTTGAGCACAAGTAAGTTCCTTGACCTCCCAGTTACTTAAGGCAACATGTTTTGGCTTCTCCATATCTTCTCCAGTAAGTAACTCCACCAAAGTCTTCAGCCCCGCCCTTCTGAACTCCTTTTGACCGAACTCCTCAGCTGCCATTGCTGCAACATCTGCAAAATATGCAACCTCTAGCCCATAATCTTCCTCGAGCTTCTTCGCATCGCCAGATATTTTCACTCCAGTGTAAGTTATGTTTGGGTTCTCCAGGGCCATGTAAAGGCATCTGGGAATAGAGGAAGCTTGGTAGAGTTGGAAGATGAGGCAACAGTTCTTAATGCAAAGTTGTATGATGGCAGCAGGGTTCGTAACACCACGGGTAAAACTCGGTCGCCATTCAATGTCAAGGCCAACAACCTTCCGCTGACGCCTGTTTGGGGCTTGAAGATGGTCTTCGATCCACGAAGAAAGGACAGTGCGAGATGAGGTGACTGTGGTTGTGATAACGCGGCGGTTGATGGTAACTGCATAAACATTTGTTGATCTTTTAGGGGTATGCAGTTTCTCAATACGAATTCCCATTAGTTTTGTTTCTAAGTAAAGAGAAGATGGCAGGTGATGAATGTTACTAGGGAACTTGATGTCTTTTATGGATGGTGGTGAAAGTTGAAGAGCTAAAAAAGTTACGTTGTCAATAATTGTAAAGTAAAGTTGGATAAGATGGTGGGGACATATATGAACTGACTAATTTTGTTTGTTTCTTTTGTTATCGGGATGGAATTTATTTGATTTTAACGGTCCAATGATGTTATGTTGACGTAAAAGGGTTTCATAAACAACTTGCAAGAGGTGTATGAAATGAAATTGTTGCCTAATTCTAATCTAGTTGATTCAGAAGTTTGTTATGCTGCTGTAAACATTTTTCCATGCTAGCGGAATTTCTTTATGCTTATTTATACAATGATTGAGAACAGAGGTTAAAGATTCATTTTAGATTGATTAATATCCCTAAAATAAGTAATTTGACTAAAAAAGTACTCAAAATTTAAAATTTAAAATTTTAGTCTTTAAAATTAATAATCATCAATTATATTAATTTTTGTGATTAGAGGTTAAAATTAAGTATTAAAATTGATTATTTGTTACTTGAAATGACCGTTCATTTTGGATACAAAATGGTATCGTCTTAAAATATTTTAAAAATAGTTTATTTTTATATATGATTTTTAACATTTTTGAATAAGAAAGTCTTATTCATCTTTTGTTTTGTTTTGTTCCGTAACATCTTTTTCTTTCGACTACTCTTGTAATATATCACGAAATGTAGGAATGATCAAACCAACATCTCTAGTAATATGTTTGAGAAAAATTGTACAATCTCTCCCTTATTAGCCTTAAAGTGGTTATGAACTACAAATAAATCATTGTAAGGAATACAAGGGTATTTGTTGTCCTACATATGAGACTTCTTTCAATGAATCGATCATGATTAATTATCTGTTTATAGATTTGAGACTTGAACATGGTGATGCAACTAAAAAAAATTAAAGATAAAAGACTTTGCAGCGTGAATGTCATTATAGTGATAGTTAAAGAAAAGAAAAAGATGTTATAAAAGAAAGTAAAGTAAAAGAAAGACTTTATTGCTTAAAAAATGTTAAAAGTTAAGAATTAAAATAAATTATTTTTTAAAAATTTTAAAATAATATTTTTTTATGTTGAGAATAGACTGTCATGTGTTATTTAACATCTCTTAAGAATAAAGATTAACATGAATATTGATTATTAATTTTAGAAAACAAAATTTTAAATTTAAAAAATTAAACAACATTACATATTTCAAAGAATAAAGTAACAGTTTATTAATTATAATTAACAACCAAACAAATTGGGATAACATGACTATTATAGCAAAAGTGGCGGTCAATATAAATTTGGTATCACAAGTGGCCATGAACCGAAATTAGCAGCAGCTGTTAAAGACAATAACTGGGAAGAAGGAAAGTTGGATAAGACTTGATGGGGCATATTTTGTCACAGGATAGTACTAGTAGTAGCCTATCAGAAGAAACAACTTCTCGTCTAAGGAGGAAAAAGTTGAAAAGCATTTGTTGGGTTACTGTTTTAGTATAATTTATAAAAGGAACAGATAGACTTCTTTTAATTGTATCCAAAACATGTCTTTTTAAATAAAATATATAAATTTATTTTTTGATGTATAAATTAATAATTACTTTTCTATTTTTATTTAATTATAAGGTTTATAATAAGATATAAAATATAGCAAAAGTGGTGGTGGATGTCAAAGTGGTGGCTTGCTCGCTTTGAATGTGCCCTACCCAAATGCTCTTCGTAAACAGAGACTATAATTTCACAAACCCCCTTGCCTGGGAACGTTGCTCTGTCAAGGCAACGAGCTTGACTTTTGCCAAACCTCTACGTCCTTCGCGCTGGGGCCAGGGGCTTGAGAAACCCCAGCCGATATTCGCAATTCCCTTCACCTCAAAGGCTACCAACGCCACTGTTACACGACTAACCCGGGCTTACTTTAAGAGGTTTGCCACTATAAGTGCTTAACATCTTCCTCCACTTTAATTCCCCTACTTAGGTTATAAGCAAACGTTACTCTGCTCGGATTTGGTACACGTCGTTATGAATTTAAATTTATAAAGAATAATCAATTGTTATATTCCAACGGTGTGGGACTTGAGATTCGCAATTTTTCTCTTATATTACTCCTGAGACTCTAGTTGATATTGATTACTAAATTTCTAAATGTATCTGATTAACTTATTTCAAGGATATGTAAAGTGTCTGATGTATTGCTAGAAGTGGACATCTTTGTGTATTCTTTTATTGTAGGTATAGTTTTTGGATGCCTATGTATGTCAAATATAAAAAGTAAATGAAGGGTATAAATAAAAGTAAACAAGATTACATATAGTGCCAATTTTCAACTCGTTCAAATAATGAAACTGATAATTTTTGCTAAACCTTTCGAGAGAGTTTTGATAAAAACTATTTTTTTTTAAATAATATTTTATAGCCTAACATGTTATGAGATGTATAAATTGTATTGCTAATTTGCTATAGAGGTTACATGTCAGAAGTTGTTTTTAGGTTTAACTACGTACATTTTTGTTTTAATTTGTATATTTGACACTAATTTTTGAGTGAGTCTGATGGGTATAATAGAAGTCCGTGGTGAATTAATTTTGTCGACCTATCAGCCTTCATCTGCAAAGCCTCCATGTTTCTCATCTTTATGGTGTCAAAAAGTTATGTTGGTCACCAAAATCTCCAAAGACAATATTCAAGATACCCCTTACCAAAAGGTCACACTTGACACCACAACGGAAAATTACTCAATAAGACAATGGAGAATTATTTGTTATTTGTTTGGTTGATAGGAGCTGAAATTATGAAGGGTATATATAGTAATGGTAAATGATAAAAGATGTGCTGTGTTCTGATTTGGATTAAAGACTGAAGACAAAGGGCAGTATATTGTAGAGATGAAGAACCATAGAAAATAGTACAGGTCAGCTCATACTCACAATGAGACATTGGGTGATGATAGGGATAATTTTATAAACAATTTTTTATATACAGACTATTTTATAAACTTTTTTGGTGTAACGACTAGTTTGAAAATTGGTGTCAAGGAACTCAACTTATTTTGATATTCTTATTCACACTACAATAGTTCAAACCCTAGACGGCTGAAAAGTAGTTCATCCAAGTGAGGCCTAAAACGTTTTGCATAGTTAAAGGATTCTGAACTCATCTAGATAGCCAAATATTCCTTCAATAAAATTAAGTATGAATTTTAGCTGGGTTTTGGAAACTTGTTTTCCATTTAGATATTCATAGTAGCTAAACATGGCAATGGCTGCAAAACAACTCCGAGTAAATTTTCTCTCCTCTACTAACCTTAATGTCATACTGTTCCTATTTTATTGAGCTTCATATCACCATAATATATATATATATATATATATATATATATATATATATATATATATATATATAAGAATTTTCTACTGTCTAAAGCATGCAATAAAAAATTTATTAATTATCTCTATCTAATTTAGAAAAAATAATAAAAATTTTATACTTGAATGCATGAAATTTATTTTCACTAATCATCAATGATAAATTTATTTGAGAATTTGGAGAAGTTGGCAGTACAATCTGTTTATTGACTAGTTATTAGTTCATATGATTAATTAATTTTGGGAGAGTTCAAAGGTGTGCAACTAAAGTAATAGAAAATCTCACTATTATTCCTTCGCATAATAAGCCATGCATGTTGACTGAAGATACAAGTGCAAGAAACCAAAAAAGACCAACCAATTTTGCATCTTCTTCAATCAGGTTTCAATATCTGAAACATAACAAAAAGTACATCTTGTGGATTCCAGGCACATGTCCTAGCTTCACTGAACTCTTACATTTTGCTATTATCATTCTGAAAGATATTGAAAATAAAGTTTATTTAGTTGACTGCTACAATCTCATAGCATGTCACACTAGAGCTGGGAATAATCAGAATGACACTAAAGTTTTATAAGTGTCTATAATGAATAACATCACAATTAAAAGAGATGGGAATTAGGATGTCAATTGAGTATTTATTATTGAAAATGAAAAAAACTATAATAAAATTCACATATACTTTTATAACAACTTAAAGCATTTAATAGAGGATATTTAATGTTTATTTTAGCTAGTACACATAAGCTATATAATATGTATAAACATAAAACAAATTCACACAAGGACTGAAATATCCGCAATCGCAATAGCCGCAACCATGACCGCATTCTCATTCACAACCATAGCATAAAACATTTAAGACTCAAACAAGATCAACCATAAGAAAAGAAACAACTCAAAAGGCATTTAACAGGAAGGATACAGAATAAGGTGTGGAATGAAGACACACAAGTTTACTTCCAATTGTGTTTAATTGCTATGTGATAACTTTAGTAACTTTTTCAGTTTTAGTCATTTTCGCTTATTTCACCGTGGCAATTGAAGTGACAAAAAATGTTATTCACAACATGTTTGCTTTGCATCAGAAAGTGTTGGGGAGGCATCAAAATTAGCTTTTCAGATATCCTGGACAATCAGGCTTGACTTGGAACCTGGGATCATGTCATAGGCTGTTCTTTCCATCTAAATCATTTTATTTGATTTAAATGGTTGAGTACACATTCATCCAAATACTGTACATTATTAGTGGATGTTGTGTATTTTTTTTTTCTAATTAATTAAAACCTCCTCAATGCACTACTTGTACATGTGTACCAATTAACAAACATCATGATGGATAAAGTTGCTACAACAAAATAGTAATAGACCCCTCAACGTATGTATAATTGATATAATTCTATTTTTCTAAGCTTTATGAAGATGTTTCTGATACCATTGCCTTTGGACGTGACTGCATAAATCTTTCATGACATTTTAGAGGTAAATTGTTTCAGTTTAAAGTTCCATTACAAGTAAAAATAAAAAATGACAACAAAAACTATTTTCTTAAACACAGCACTTAAGATATTTGTTTTTTAATTATAACTCCCACATTGCCC